ACATATTAATTTTTAAACTAAATTGTTTAAAATAAAAATAAAAAAATAAACATATAAGGGTAAGTACTTTTTCTTTAGCACTTTCAGAAAATGCGTTTTAACTGTAACTCTTTGTTTCTTAACTGTAGCTTGGATAACCTTATATATTACTGTTCGGCTCTCCTGTCATATCCGGACGAAGAATAAACAGCCGTGGACGAGTTAGTCAGAGTTCTCTCCCTTGGCCGCACTCCGAACAGTAATCGGAAAACAAACAAAATAAACGACACACTTACCTATCATCCTGCGGTTGCGTGTAGGGCTGCGTACGGTTTCGTGAGGCATTGTGAATGGTTGTGTAGTCATCATCATGCGGTTGTTGGGTTAGAGTTAGGGGTAGGGTTAGGGGTAGGGTTAGGGTTAGGGTTAGGGGTCGGGTTAGGGGTAGGGTTAAGGGTAGGGTTAAGGGTAGGGTTAGGGGTAGGGTTAGGGTTAGATGTGAAAATTTTGACGTAGGATTTCGAAATACTGGCCGACAATCAGATGTTTGTGGGAGTGGCGCCACTGAAACTCTGCCAAATATGACGCCAATAGCGTGCGGCTGGTGCCCCCAATCGTTGGCGAATTGTGCGTTTGATTAGCATCCAGAGGCCCTCGATTGTTTGTGTGTATATGGGACTGTGCGCGATTATAGGGAACTCCGGCGTCAAAATTGTCAAATATTACGCTAAACTTAACCCTACCGCTAACCCTAATCCTAATTCTACTCCATAGCCCTAACCCCTACCCCTAACCACGCAAATTTATCGATCATTAAAGCATACAAATCGGCAAAAACCAACAAACGAAACACACCCCAAAAAAAAAAAAAAAAACCAGATTTGTCCTGCAGCGTCGAAAAAAACCCCAGATCTGGGGGAAACAACCAAGCATTGGCAGCCCTGATGTCGACGTCACTGTCTTCTTTGTTTCGTTGTGGCTTTTCCGATCACTGTTTGCAGTGTGATCAAGGGAGAGAACTCTGACTAAGTCGTCCAAGGCATTTTAGTCTTCGTCCGGATTTGACAGGAGTACCTACTGTTCTGATCATTGTGTTCTTAACTGTAGCTTAGATAACCTTATATTACTGTTCTGATCACTGTGTTCTTAACTGTAGCTTAGATAACCTTATATATTACTGTTCTGATCACTGTGTTCTTAACTGTAGCTTAGATAACCTTATATATTACTGTTCTGATCACTGTGTTCTTAACTGTAGCTTAGATAACCTTATATTACTGTTCTGATCACTGTGTTCTTAACTGTAGCTTAGATAACCTTATATTACTGTTCTGATCACTGTGTTCTTAACTGTAGCTTAGATAACCTTATATTACTGTTCTGATCACTGTGTTCTTAACTGTAGCTTAGATAACCTTATATTACTGTTCTGATCACTGTGTTCTTAACTGTAGCTTAGATAACCTTATATTACTGTTCTGATCACTGTGTTCTTAACTGTAGCTTAGATAACCTTATATTACTGTTCTGATCACTGTGTTCTTAACTGTAGCTTAGATAACCTTATATTACTGTTCTGATCACTGTGTTCTTAACTGTAGCTTGGATAACCTTATATATTACTGTTCTGATCACTGTGTTCTTAACTGTAGCTTAGATAACCTTATATTACTGTTCTGATCACTGTGTTCTTAACAAGATCTAAGAGTTCTAAGAGAGATACACAATTATTTAGTCATCAGTTTAAACTGCCACCACATCATTACTGTGCAGCTTGCAGTGCCATCTGTCACCATTAGTTTAAAAAAAAGGGATGGTGGGATTGGCTTTTCCTGCCAACTTATAAGATTGAAGGTCTATCCTCAGAATAACGGTCGTAAATTATCAAGGTGGAAAATATACCCTAACAGGGCCTCAGTCACGTGTTAATTGCGCACTTTCGGGGACTATAACGCCACCGCCGAATTGTGAACTTCCGGCTACTTCCGCCGCTGCGAGTGTCCCCCACGGCGCTAATGCGGCGTGGATTGGGGCTAAACTAGATGGCTAGGACTCACGAGCAAAACAAATGAAGGAAGCTGCAGGAGATGCGGTAGCTGCTGTTCATTAGTCCTAGCCATCTAGTTTAGCCCCAATCCAAGCCGTGCGAGCAGTGTGGGACACTCTCAGTGGTGGCGGAAGTTGCCGGAAGCGCGCATTTTAAGACGACAGAAGTGCGCAATTGACACGTGACTGAGGCCCTGTTAGGGTATATTTTTTGCCTCGATAATTTACGACCGTTATTCGGAGGATAGCTGATTGAAGAACTGAGTTTTAAGAAATTGTTCAGCAACTTAAGTAGTTGAGACTTTCCAAATACCAGTTTAAATTAATACTGAATTAAATATGATAAGAATTAGCTAATTAACATTGAATGAGAAATGCATAATTTATTAAAAAAGTATATGTTAACCCTTTGGAGACGGAGCTTTTTTGCAGTTTCAATGCCAAGAAGACGGAGCCTTCAGGAGGGGATTCTCTTAGTTAATACTCACAAAATAATGAAAAATAAAGCGTTTAGTTAACATTTACAAAACTATATATATTCGTATAGGAAACTGAATGAACTAAAAGAATATTTATGAATCAAACTGAAATCTCAACATTTATTCAAATTAACTACTCTGATTTGTATTATTTATGCAAGCAGTTTTGTTTAAAACTTGGGAACAAACATAACTAACCTAAAGAATTTGGGCGAATTTTTTAATGGGTAAAGCTTGAATCAGTCCTAACACCTGTATTTTGCAAAGTAAGGCCCTTCAGACATGTCTGGCACAATGGTTCTCATTTTTACTGCCTCAAGCTATGTTTTGGTTGCTTGACGCAGCAGTCCTTTTCGCCATTTTTTGGCACAGGTAACCACAGAAAAAAATTGATGTAAAATATCAGAACACATCAGACTTTCTCAAAAGCCATCAGTGAACAGCCCATATATGCAAGAAATGCGAGAAGCAGTCTAATTGGCTGGTACAAAAACCTGCCAGCTAATATCAAGGCTTCTGTTAAATGAAGCAGACTGATCGGTTAGTCATCCTCTTGGCTACTTTGTGTTGGGCAGATATTTTGGCCACGTCATCTCCAAAGGGTTAAAATGTCATGGTTCATTACAGCTGGCGGTGACGTTTCCCATCATTAGTATTCAATTAGCTATTTCCACCACATGGCATCATAACATACAATTTAAGAATTCAATGAAGAAACCTTTTTCACATACTCAGCTAATTTAAACTGTCTGCCACATGTTCATGTTAAAATAAATGTGGTATTTAATTTTTCAGGAATTAACATTGTCTTCAAATGTATAATGCATTAGAACATTTTAAATCACCGTTGTCCATTGCAACAAGCCGCGGTTTCACTTACCTTGATTCTAATGCTACGCTGTGGCATACATAACTGAAATTACTTGTAGAGATATTTTCATAAGCTCTGGAAGTTAAAATTTTCGGTATTTACATTAAAAATAAATGCTGTTTAAAAAAAAAATAATTTTATAACGATTAGCATTGTCTGCGAGCTAATATTTTAAATCACCGTTGTCCATTGCGACAAGCCACGGTGTCACTTACCTTGATTGTAATGCCATGCTGTGGCATACATAACTGGAATTACTTGTAGCGATATTTTCATAAGCTGTGGAAACTAAATGTTTCATATTTGCATTAAAAATGAATGCTGCTTTTAAAAAAAAATTTATAACAATTTTGTCTGCAAGCTAATAATATTTTAAATCACTGTTGTCCATTGCAACAAGCCGCAGTTTCACTTACCTTGATTGTAATGCCACGCTGTGGCATACATAACTGGAATTACTTGTAGAGATATTTTCATAAGCTCTGGTAGTTAAAATTTTCTGTATTTACATCAAAAATGAATGGTGTTTTTTTTTTAAATTTTATAACGATTAGCATTGTCTGCGAGCTAATAACAAAGTTAAAATTCTCCTGACCTCTTAGCAGGACAAAAGAGATCTCTTGACACTCGTATAGTATTACTGCAGTATAATTTATGTATTCAACTAACAAAATTTAGTAATCTAACCCGGTTATGTGTTGGTATTGAAATAATCTGAGACTTTTTACTTAATATATGCACGTATCCTGTGAATTCTATGACACACTTTTTGATTTTCTCACTTGGGGGGTGCTACATGTCTTCTGCCATTTGTTGACATAAAAATATAGAACTTGCTATTAGTATTAATAACTAACTTGATACTCCCATGTACCGGACCACAGTGAAGTTTTATAATTTGATATTTCTTCTTTGCTTACATCGGCTGTGAGCTCTGGGTGATCATCCACCTTTGGACTTTAGTCCCGCTCCAGAACCTGAGTGTTGCGTGCCGATCCGTTTCACGGATCTGGCTTATTTCAATGCAGACCTGTGCTTCCTTGCCTCTCATGCGGATATACTTCAACTTCGAAAGATGTTCCCAATTAGTTGACTCCTTCGAGATGCTTGTTAGGGAGGCAGTGGGTCTGTTCCATGTTTTCCCCAGAACCCGCAGGGGGAATTTGTAAATTTGACTTTGGGGATTTTATTTATGAAACTGTCACTTACATTTTAGTAGCACAGTAATAGATACTACAATAGACATTACACATTATAGTTTATAAAAAAAATCTGGCACAAAATGGCCTATGAAGTAAGTCCCAACAAATTTAGGATTGCTGTGACAATTTTTTGCATGTTATGACAATAAATATTTAGTATTCTAATGAATGTCATAGTAGCCATATGTGATTGCAGTCAGGAAGTGCCCTGGGAGGGGAAGTCAGCTGGTGCATTATTGACCAAGTCACTCAGTTGGGGCTAATTTGTCTGTAAAAATATAAACCTAGCATCATATACCCATATGTTGTTATAAGTCATATACTTTACCTGTCAAGTGACTTTATCCCACATTTCTCTGTGTATTCTTGCTTCTAACATTGAGTATGTAAATTGTTATCTGTTCAGAGGACAGATGTGTAAGAATGTCATCGATGAAAGGTTCAGAAGATGAAGGATCTGAATGGCTGGTCAACCTTCTCAACGAGATCCAGCTGGGTCAGTTTTACATCAAACTGCGTGATGATCTGCAAGTGACCAGGTCTGTTATCACATTCTTTATCATAATTTTCAGTCTTTTCCTCTTCTGCCATTGGATGGTTTTGTGATGATAAAAGTTTAATGTGACAATAGATGTTTTACCACAGTGAGAAAAATATAGACTGAAGAAAACTTGTGTGCAAAGAGGCGTAGCTTAAAAAGGCTTAGCCAGGAAAGACAGTCAATAGGTTAGTATGATTGTGATGTGAAACAAGGAATGAACTCTATTATAGTTATGCAGGCAAATTGAACAGATGAGTAGCTTTTTGAAAGAACCAAACTTCATTCTGTGTTTGGCGCTTGAACGAGAAGCAAGGAAGAGTGAGTATGGGTACATCTGAAGACTATCCAAGCATGGTCATGAATGCCTGCCAAATAATTGTCAGCTGTTTCAAGTAAACAAGTCTGCTTGGAGTTGAGCCTGCAAGTGATCATCTTTAACCATGGTACTCATGGAGAATATATTGTTCATTTAAAGATCATATTCATTGCACATTCAACATGACCATAAGGGCTCTGATCTCCTCCTGAATATATATCTTAGTATTTTTAGACTAACTATCCTATACTTTTCTGGTTGATGTAACAATGGGTGGCTCCTACATAGTTTTCCTGTTTTGCTGCTCCAGTTGGTACACCCAGGGTATGCAGTCTATTTATTAAACAGTCATATTCCACGAAACTGAAAGCCACACAATGTTTAGTCTCTCATATGACATTGATTATGTCTCTGCTCTCCATAGATGGCCCATTCCTGATAGTAGCACTGCCACCCAGGGTATCAGCTCTCTCATTTCCTTTCACGCCAGCATACCTTGGGACAAAAATAAAGGTGAAGAAGCATCTTCATTCTTATTACTGGGTATAGATATTAAAGATAATTATAACTGAATAAGAGGTTAAACATGGTATCTAGGATTTGGCCTATTGGATTTTCCATCCAGGATGTGACTCTTGTCTATGAGTCATATGGGTGTCAGACCTTCAGATAGCAGTCTGTCTAGAGGTGGAGAAATCAGTCAAGTTTTTGTCTGCACATCTGTCCAAGTTTGGTATGGTTATAATCTTTGTTTCATTGTGTTTTTTTCCCTGGCTCATTGATTGAATCATTCGGCTTTAAAATTATTGCGAAAGATGCCAAGTGGTAGCTAAATTCTTCACTCTTTCAGGCTGGTCCACTTTGACTATGTCAAGACAGAAGATCTAGAGAAAATTGGCATGGGGAAGCCGGCCATCCGACGTTTGATGGACACTGTAAAAAAACACAAGACTCTCCGCAAGAAGTCGCTCTCAGACAAGCCATCCCAGGTAACTCTCATGGTGTGTCTGTTCTGTGATAAAATCTAGATTTGATTTGTTGGGTTTGTACAACAGGTGAGTCACGGTTGCCCATTATTAAAGAGTCATGGTTGCCCATTATTAAAGAGTCATGGTTGCCCATTAGTAAATGAGCCTTTCTACCATCTTAGTGGTCTCAGATTCATTCTCTATTATTGATATTTATATTCTTTAGGCTGAGGAGCGGCTGTCTGAATGCTAAAGATGCTAGGCTCTCATGCGGGAGACTCAGGTTTGAATCCTCAATAAGGTTGTGGATTTTTCTGTCTGGGGTGAAAATAAAAACCTAACTTGCACACTCTGTGGCAACAAAACTAACCACGCAGCTATAAATCCTCAGGTTCAAAGACCTTCCTGCCAAAAGTGGTAAATACAGACAGTTTTGGCAATTTATGGCTGTATTTTTCTGGTTAATATGGCTTTGAGGTCAAATCCAGCAGGAAAAAAAGGTTGCAGAGATTAATGATCATCAGATCACACATTCTTTGTAGAACATAGTGGTGGTTAGAACATGCTAAAATGATCTCATTTTTCCTCCATTGCCTTTTAATTAATCCAGCGAAATGTGACCAAGAAGCTGAGCGAATGTGGGAAGGGTAAAAATATACACAGGAACAATGATGCTGTGCAGCCGCCTTTATCAACAAAAACAGTCACCTCTGTTTTATATCACTTCCTTAGCCTTGCTTTCAAATTCTTTCTATACCATTGTGATTTATTTTTTTTCACTAATTTTTTCAAGTCATGATGCTATGTATGAATGAGTTTCTTCCACTCTTTTCTTCTTCTTCATCTGCTTCTTGATTGATAAACATTTGTTATATCTACTCCAGAATGGGTTACAAACAGGGTTTTGTGCCTAAGGTCTTTGGTGATCCCCCATAATCTCTTTTGAAGGGTTACTGTGTGCTGAAAAAGTTGGAGACAAGTATGCTGCATGCTGAGTGGCAAGCATTGCTTCAGAGGTCCCGGGTAGATAGCATCCTTTGGATATTTTCTTTAGTGAATGCAGGTGTTTTTGGAAATGAACAGGCAGACATATTAGGTGGTTCTGCACCACTTGGTGGTAAACTTATGACAAGCTAGATAATGTAAGGGCCCTTTGGGATTGAGTGGATAATGCAGAGGATAATGCAGTGGAAGAGGGAATCTGTAGGTACTTGAAGCTCAGGGGAAAGGCAAAACGGACATTTAGTTAGAGTACTACTTGCACCAACACAGTTGGAACTCTGCGCAGGCTGATTAAGATGAGGACGGGGCGCTTAAGGAAGTACCTCAAGTACTGTGATGTTGGTTCTTGACACAGCTCACTGGTGAATTTTCTTTTCTTTTAGCAATTCGGATTGTTCAATATTTTTGTATTTATTTTGTATTTGTATCTATTTTTTTTGGGGGGGGGGGGGGGGGGGGGGGGGGGGGGGGATCACACCTTGAACACGGGTCTACTGCTTGGAGTTCAGCATAAAAAAACCACATTACAAAAGTTAGACAAGATGCAAAATCAAGCCCTCAGAGTCATAACAGGCGGGATGAAATCAACACCTTTAGATGGAGAAGATGGCGATGACTCAAACACTAACAGAACGAAGAGACACTAACATACTAATACAAGCAGAAAAGTTTCTTAGCATGCCTGAACACCCTATGAAAGAAAGATTCCAAAATCTAGCAATGGGGCGACTAAAAAGAAGCAGTTTCATCCACATATACGGATGGATCAGCACAAAACGCAAGCAGAAATGGAGGAGCAGGAGTGTATATTGAGCATCCAAATAATACCAGATATACAGCCAAAATAAGAGAATAATCAAATCAATCAGCAAGCCACCAAAACCATCACAAAACGATTACTATTTCGTGGAAAGACCAGAGCAAGTCATTTTTAGAACAAGACACTTCGCAGCCACAATGTACACACAATGTAAAATCGGCGAATCAGCCATGTGCACATGTGGATTGGCACCCGAGACAACAGATCACGTCCTCCAAGAATGTCTCAAATACAACATACCAGGACAAAACCTTTGGCCGAGAGAAACATCGGTGCAAGTTAAACTGTACGGCTCCCTGAGTGAATTACCGAAGACAATGAAGTTCATACAAGAGACAACACTGCAGATAAAGATAATCTATTTCAAGCAAATGAAAGAAGAAGAAGTATTTTTGTTCTTCTAAGATTTTTCTTAAAGTTCAGAAGCTATGATTTTTCCTCATTTGTTTCTGAAACTCATTTCCAGTAACTAAAGTAGAAAGTTTGAGAGCAAGCATCCTGTCACAGTGAGATGTAAACCATTTCACAATCGTTAATACAAAAAAAATAATTGGGGCATTTCTTTTTCTTTGCCTTTACCGGCTGTATATTCTGGTAGAAAGTTCTGGTTGTTTATCCACCTCTGGACTTTAGACATGTTCCAGAACCTGGGTATTGCGTGCACATTCATTTTACAGATTTAATTTTGAAAGCAGACTTTTGGCTTCTTGCCTCTCAGACAGATGCACTCCGACTTAGATGGAAACCACAAATTAGTCAACTCTTATGACATGCTTGTTTCAGAGGCAGTAGGTCTATTCTTGTTCTACCTGACCCACCTGGAAGATTGGGACATTTAAACAGATGGCTTCTTTAAATACCACGAATCAAGGGGGAAAAAAGGGGAGGGGGATCATGAACAATACCATTTGATTAATTGTGCACAAGATAAACATTGATCTCCGTAAACTTATAATGGAACATTTCAACACCATTTTTTGGGGGTGTCGCTTGTAAAACATAATTTAATGTCCTTGTTTGTTTTTGTTGTAGTTGTTTAATGCTACATAAGTAACCACAAACCTATCACTAGCTAAACAAATTGGTCAAAAATGTGTCATCTTTGCCAGGTAGCATTTTAGTTTTGCTAGAAGATCATAGATGAATGTTGTCTTTTTGTGATGATGTGCTTTGTTACATAGATGGTGTTTTTGGCTTGGCCATAAAAAGAAGGTTCATTATTTAATTGTTGGACACTGTCTGGATGGGTAAGTATGTGTGTGTAGATAGGTAGGTAGATAGCAAAAATATCCCCTATTTTATCTCCCCTCCATCTTTTTCACGCTATCTTCTCTCTCCCTTCCTCCTTCTGTCTACTTTCTCACACTCAGACTCATGCTGATTAATATGTGTATCATCTCTACAGAATGGCTCGCAAGCTTTGTTAAGTCCTGAAACTGGCGACTCAACTTTGACTTGCCTGATTGACAAGAAGAATGTTTTCCTGTTTGAGAAACTGGGAAATGGTTCCTTTGGGGTGGTCCGGCGTGGGGAATGGCTCACACCCATGGGAAAGAAAGTAAGTCAGGCTTTTTGAGTGTTGAGCTAAGAGCTGACATCAGACCACTTGGGACATTCCCATAATTGCTCCATCTTCATCTTCAGCAGCCAGCAAAGAGCTCCAATTTTTATTGTGCCAGTAGCAGTATAATTATTTACCTTTCCTCTGAGTGTCAACCAGATCCCCTGGTCATTCCTAGGTGTACCATTCTCTCCAAACTAGTGATCTGTACGTGCCTCTACATTGTTCACTTGCACCAAAGGATCCTGACCAGCTATAGCTTGTCATGCATAAATTCACCACCCATTGGTGTAGAACCATCCGTAGCTACAGCGACGTTCCTCCATTTACCCCAGAGTGTTAACTCTGGTACCCATTACCTAGAGGCTGGGTGAACCCCGATTTTAAACACTGGCCGTGGGCTGCTACAAGTCGCAGTGTGATTTGAAAGCGAGTCTTCTATTGACTGTGCCAACACCACTAATGAGAATTTTATGAAGGAGGTGAATGCGGTGTACATCTTGAAACATGCCAGCCTTATACACCTGTACAGTGAGATTCTGTTGTGTCCGCGATGACATTAAGTTGTGAATTGCACATAAAATGGCAGGTGGACAATTACGTTCAGCTATGGCGTGTATTTATGCTGTATTATCAGTGCTGTACCGGCTTCCATCATTGACAGCTTGCATCAGCAGTGAGCTGCAGTTCTGCTGGAAACTTAGTGCTGGCACATCTGAAAGCTTCTTTATGCATTTACTTTGCTTGTGCGAGCTTCAAGATTTAGCTGGAGCTTATATGTTAATCACTAGTTTTCATATGAGACAGGGAAGGGTATTTATTGTTATTTCCACTGGCACAAGAAGGGAGCAGTTATGCATTTGGCATAAAGCTGTAACCTCAACTAACTGTCTTAGAGATCTCTGACATTGCCAGAGTTAGTGCTTCAGACAATGCTATCACGGGTGATCAGCCAAAGGCCAGAGTGAAATTTAACATAAGGGATAAAATCCATCACAGGGAAGCCAGTCCTATTGTTTTTTTTAAACACTTTTACATCCTGGGACATGGGTTTGAATAACAGAAGAATGTATGTCTTGGTAACATGCCCGATATCAGGATATCAGTCAGGGTTCCAACTTTATCACAGATGGGTCACCCCCATAATTGCTCTGTTCTGACTGGTTCTGCACTACATGGTGGTGAATTGATGTATGACAACTAGATGTTGTGAGGGCCCTTTTGGAGTGAGCGAACAATGAGGATTCACAGGTAGATATTACGGTCTGAGGAAAAGGCACTGCAAGGAATTACCAGGGGATTTGGCTGACGCTCAACACTCAAGGGAAAGGCAAACTGATGTACAATCAGACACTGATATCATCAAAATCGGAACTCTTGGCTTGCTGCTGATGATGGGGATGGAGCGCTTATGGGAGTGTCCCAAGTCCTCTGATGTTGATTCTTAATTCAACATCCAACATTGTTGTGTTCCAATGTCACTGAAAGCCACACAGAATGCCCATCATTGTTCCACGTGTAAAGACAAGACAGCAGTCCCAGAAAAATTACACAGCCCTTACACAGGTCAGATGCATAAGACAGCTGCCAAAGGTATGAACACCTGCCATCTGTCACTAGAAATGCTTTTCATAATTGAGGGAACCAGCAGTCACAATAAACCAGCAGGTGCACACTCCCTCATTACTGCATAAAGTAGATTTAGATTTCTGTTGCAACCAGCCACTCACTATTTCTTTGCACACACATCTCTGCTAGTAAGCATTCTCCGTGAAATTCACAGCTCACAGTGCTGCATCATGCACTTAGATCTAGCTGGCCGACATAACTTAATTTTGCCCTTGCCTGGTTTGCTGTCCCATCCTATTTCCCACCAGGGATTGAAACCTCAACCTTTCAGTGGATTACATGTGGTGATGTAGGATTGAACAGGAGAGACTAAAGGACATTAAGAATCTTATATTGCACATCATTGCTCCATTAGGACCCTTAACATATCTGATAATTACATTTGTGCACGCATTGTAAAGATTATGGGGATCTGGATTATTGTTTTGATATTACAGAAAACGGTGGCCGTGAAGATCCTCTGGAGAGATACCCTTTCGCAGCCTGGCGCCTTTGAGGATTTTGTCAAAGAGGTGAATGCCATGTACACCCTGAAACATACCAACCTCATACACCTGTACGGGGTGGTGCTGTCCACACCTCTGATGATGGTAAGTCTCCCTGTGCCACTTTTAAATGGTAATTCATCTCTGAGTCTTTTGAGAATAATAAGAACGACTGAGAGTTTCTCTGAGATCTCTGAAGAATTATCTGACTCTTTTCTTGACAAAATCACTGACCAGATTCTGACTTTTTCACTGATAGGTAACTGAATATTGCCGTGATAAATACATACTTAATTACAGATTTTATTGTGGACATGAATGACAAAAAATTGACATCCATGCACTCAGGACATTCCCACCCGTGCTCCGTCTCCTTCCTCAGTAGCCAGCGAAGAGTCTGTATGCTAATAGTATCAGTTGCAACCTGATTAAAAGTCTGCCTATTGTCTCCCCCCCCCCCCTATTTTTTAATATCTTCCAGACACACTGTGCACCTCTGCCAGAGTTAGTCTGTCAGTGTACGGATGCTTAGTCTGTTCTGTTACACTGTCTATTGATTGCACAGAGCCACCATAATTAAATGAAACTTTTTCTCTGATAACTGAATCTTTGTGACAGATAAGTAAGCAATTAACAGATTTCTTTGTGACAGATAACTGAGTAAATAAATGAATTTTCTTCTGACAGATAACTGAGTAAATAAATGAATCTTCTCCTGACAGATAACTGAGGAAATGAATGAATCTTCTCCTGACAGATAACTGAGGAAATGAATGAATCTTCTCCTGACAGATAACTGAGGAAATGAATGAATCTTCTCCTGACAGATAACTGAGTAAATAAATGAATCTTCTCCTGACAGATAACTGAGTAAATAAATGAAACTTCTGACAGATAACTGAGTGAATAAATGAATCTTCTCCTAACAGATAACTGAGTGTGAATCTTCTCTTGACAGATAACTGAGTATGAATCTTCTCCTGACAGATAACTGAGTAAATAAATTAATCTTATCCTGACAGATAACTGAGTGTGAATCTTCTCCTGACAGATAACTGAGTGTGAATCTTCTCCTGACAGATAACTGAGTGTGAATCTTCTCCTGACAGATAACTGAGTGTGAATCTTCTCCTGACAGATAACTGAGTGTAAATCTTCTCCTGACAGATAACAGAACTAGCTCCCTTGGGATCACTGCTGGACAGGCTACATGAGGCACAGGAATCTCTCCTGATCTCCACACTGTGTGAATATGCCATTCAGATCGCTGTTGGAATGAGCTTCCTAGAGTCAAAACGATTCATACATCGAGACTTAGCTTGCCGGAATGTGCTGTTGAAAACCGATGAGCTGGTAGGTGTACTAGACTTAACATGTGTTTGGACTAGACTTGTGTATGGTAGGACTAGACTTATGTGTGTTAGGACTAGACTTATGTGTGTTAGGACTAGACTTATGTGTGTTAGCAATTGTCTCACCTGTGTTAGGACTAACTTGGGTGTGTTAGGACAAGACTTACATGTGTTAGGACTAGACTTAGGTGTGTTAGGACTAGACTCATGTGTGTTGCTGGTTTCTGAAAAAGGTATGATTTTTTTTTTAAAGCATCTTTTAGAATAGGATAACAACCCAAGGCAATGGTGAGTGGGACTAGCAAGACTGGCTCATATTAAGAAAAGTCTTTTACATGGTAATAACAACCCAAGGCAATGGGGAGTGAAACAAAAGTCTTCTACATGGGATATCAGGATCATTGTTCCCATCATGTGTATTGTGCTTTTTTCCTCAGACTCCAAGCTCTTAACCTCTCTCTCTCTCTGCAGTCATATTCTCCTTTATTACTATTCCCTTTCTGATTGTCTCTTTCAATGCAACATGATCCTTGGCATCCTATTCTCTTAGATCCACCTCAGTACTTGTATAATTCATGCTCTACTTACACACATCTTTATATCCTAGTAGAGGCTGATCTCCTCAGGGCTTTTCAACTGTGGCCTACAGGCCAAATAACACTGGAGCTCCGGCTTCTGGACGATCCCCATTTTCAACCATTTGGCCCTTAAGTAAACTTAGTTGAAAAGCCCTGCCATTGTTGTGAAACAGGTTAAAGAAAGTGAGCTGCCTGAATATCCCCAGAAAAGGGATAATGGAATTTAGATGCCTAAACACTTAGACAAAGCAGATTACCCCTCTCGACAATTTTTTTCTGGTAATTAAATTGAAACCCCATCTAGAATAGGTTTATCGGTAGACATCACTAAACTGACACCATACACACATCTAGAAATAAAATGAAACTTAAACTAGGAATGTAAATCAACCATAGAAATGTTTATTAAAATTTAAGTTAAAACCAATCATCTATTCACTTTTGAAATACAATATTCAAACTACGTAGATTTCATGAAAGATAAAAATGATAGTCACATGAAACTGTCGTCGTGAGAGGATCGGTGAGAAATAACACTCAACAAATACCACCTGGAGTTTCCTAGAGAATCATCCGTTTCAGAGAATGAGGTGGAACTTTGGATCTGTCCCACGCACCAAGACCTTACTCAGGGCACTTCAATCATCAGCTACGACCAGCCTGGCAGTGGTTTGGAACCTCGTCCTGCCATAAGGAACAAGGAATCTGTCTTCGGCTTTTCAGCAGATAGGGATGGAAACAATCAAAATATACAGTCCCTAATGTTCTACAGAATAAAATATGTTCCCAACTCTCCCCTCTCTCTTCATATTGTCAGAAGTGGGATAATGGTCTAGTATCCTTGTAATTTACATAGCTTCCACTTCTGACAACTGTCCAGTCCAGATGAATGTCTTCCATCTTCTGTCCTTCAGGATGATAGTGTAATACCGCTCATTTCCTCAGACTCGGGACAGCTATATGCAGTTATAAATGCAGCACAAAATCGGACAGAATGGTATAGAATTATCTCTATAAATTTTGAGGATTCTAGATAAAAGAGCCCGCCTTTCCTTTCTTCCAGATATTCCACTGTGTGGTTACTTTCTGGTTGTATCCTGCTTTTGTGATGCTAAAAAAAACCAGTTTCTCAGTGAGTAGTTTTCCCGGACAGCATGTAATACGGCTGTGTATAAGGAAAATAATACATGAATAACCTGAAAAGCTAATTCAACACTTCTACAACAAGCAAACATCATGAATTATTGAAGTATGAGCATGAGAAGAACAACGTCTCCCATGAAATGTTACCACTAACTACACAAACCATGATAAACAGCCATATATCATTCATCTACCAGCGATAGAAGATAGAGAATTTCCTAAGAGTCTTAGATACAGTAAATGGAAGTAACATCCTAGATACAGAACAATAGGAATCAGGAATAGATCGTAAAGATCTGGTTTCTGGCCCATGTGTGCAGAAATGGATCAGCTTGGTTTTTCCTCTGTCTGGTACAATTCTAATATTGTACGTGAAATGCGACCCGAAAACAGAAATCACGATATAGGTAACAATTACTGTGCTCACCTGGATTTAGATGTGACTATATGGTCATGCTGCTGGGTTTTTAGGCGGCTGGAAAGACAGAAGCAAAGTTGTCTTCCAAAACGGCACGCTTTAACTCCTGCTAGCAACCTGAAGTCAATGCCTTGCAATCCGGTCTCACAGCGGGGTTTCCGTTGGTGGCCAGGGTTTTTCAGCTACGCTGCCGAATTTGCTAGCAGCATATTCTATACATGTAAGCACAAGGGAATTGCAAATAAGACAATGGTAAATTCCCAAACTGCAGCTGTAGACTATAATCAGGATATCCCTCGGGGTCGTCAATGACGAAAATGATGTCACTTGGCGTACGTAAGAGGGGAAAATAGAAGGGTCATAAAGGGGTGGTATGTCAGCCAAAAGTATCTTGTCTACTTGAAGCGGCCTCCCACAACAGCCATAGATGTTGAGAGTTCCTCCTGTCCATAGCATAATAGCTGGGCAGTATTGTAGAGATAATATTGCACGTGTGCTGCCTCTTTTGTACTGGGTCTATATACAGCGGAGTCGCAACATTTATATCTTTAGGGCAACTTATTTGATACAGTTCTCATATAAAAAGGTATTTAACCAGACGAGAATTAAAACTGGTCACTTTCAAAATATCACATAAATTAGCAAGGCTACTGTTACAAACAAGGCTACTGTTACAAACAAGGCTACTGTTACAAACAAGGCTACTGTTACAAACAAGGCTACTGTTACAAACAAGGCTACTGTTACAAACAAGGCTACTGTTACAAACAAGGCTACTGTTACAAACAAGGCTACTGTTACAAACAAGGCTACTGTTACAAACAAGGCTACTGTTACAAACAAGGGTACATAAAAAAAGAGTTCCCTGTGTGGGTTCCTGTTATGGGGAAAATCAGAATAAACCCACTGCCTCCCCAACGTGCAAGTCGTAGGAGTTGACTAATGGGAGTATCTTTTGAAGTAGTGCATCCTTCGGAGTTTGCAGTCAGTGAACGCAAAGAAGACGAGGACAACAGAGTTGAGGTCTCTCCTGAAAATATTTGCATGTGTCGTGACAGTAAAAGCTCGAAGTCTCATGTGATAACAGAAGTGTGTACTTGACTTGAGAAGGAGTGGCAAATTGGGGCAAGGGCCGTAACTCACATTTTTTTGGGATAAAGCTGTGTTGTACGTTTCGGCCCTTAGTTGACGGGAAATTCAAAGACATAAGGTGGTTCTCAAAAGATTCTTTCGTTGGATTGACTAGATTTGGTTGCCATTACCTTCTGGTCAAAGACACCTCGCTGATCCTGAGAATTGAAATGCATAGACACTGGTAACAAATTTAAGTAAATGCAATACCTCCAGTCTTTTTGACATCTTTCAGATGTTTCTGTTTGAAAGCTTACTTAACATGTTTAAAAGTTTAGGTAATTGTTTTAAAGTTTAGTTAATTTGTTTACAAGTTTACTCAGCATATTTGGTAGTTTACCTAACATGTTTGAAAGTTCACCTGTTTAAACTTTAGTTAATCTGTAAGAAAGTTGTCTGCATCTGTTTGAAATGTTTGTTGGCTGAGTAAAGCAGCCTTTATCACCTTGCTCATTAAAAGATGTCTGGTCTGGTTGCAGGTGAAGATTGGAGACTTTGGCCTCATGAGGGCACTTCCCAGTCAGACCGACCACTATGTCATGTCAGAACAGAAGAAGGTGCCATTTGCATGGTAATTGTTGTTTGTTGTTCAGCTGTGTTGTTTTTCTTGAGGTAACAGTAACTTCTGTTAAAGTTAATGTCAGAGGATCGGCTTCTTTGCAACGGGTTTTATCCACAATGGTTGACTCTCTACATAGATTGGCTAGCCTCCTGTGAAGAAGGTCTCACAAAGTATACATTTTTTGTTTGTCATAGTTCTGTGTTGTTTGCTGATGGCATGTTTTCTTATAGTTCTGTGTTGTTAGCTGATCGCATGTTTTGTCCTAGTTCTGGGTTGTTTGCTGATCACATGTTTTGTCCTAGTTCTGTGTTGTTTGCTGATCACATGTTTTATCATAGTTCTGTGTTGTTTGCTGATGGCATGTTTTATCATAGTTCTGTGTTGTTAGCATATTGCATGCTTTATCATAGTTCTGGGTTGTTTGCTGATCGCATGTTTTATCATAGTTCTGTGTTTTTAGCTGATCGCATGTTTTGTCCTAGTTCTGTGTTGTTTGCTGATCGCATGTTTTATCATAGTTCTGTGTTTTTAGCTGATCGCATTTGCTGTATTATAAATGGTATCTATATCGAAGCAGGGTTTCCTGAATTTATCTGCCAAGTTATTTTACAACTTAGGTGTGCACCGGAGAGCCTCAAGTCCAGACAGTTCTCCCACGGTAGTGATGCCTGGATGTTTGCTGTCACCCTGTGGGAGATGTTCACCTATGGGCAGGAACCTTGGATGGGTTACAATGGCTCACAGGTGAGTTGTTGGATTATGCCTCAGTTCTGAATAAGGACAGGGGAGGGAGAAAGGGGGCAGCATTGCAAGGTTACAGATTGAATTTGGGCCCTTAGTTTTGGTGTTTACTTCTGTGTTACAGGGGCTGGTAGAGGAACTGAATAATAGTCACACTGTAATCTGTTATTGGGAGCTGCTGTGTAGTGGTGACTAGACGCTCACGAGCGGATCAGAAAGTCGTGCGTTCACTCCCTGGCAGAGTCAGACTTTTTTTTTTTTTTAATGACCTTGACTCCCAGGTCGAACCAGCCTTGAGTGGGTACCAGGTGCAGTCCTGGGAAGTAAAGGGGGCCGAAGTGATGCTGACCACAGGGCCCATATTATGCTCGTTGCTGTATACAAATATAGGTCCAGCCCTGCACACATAAAGGTTTGAAAAAAAAGACCTTTACTTAACTTTTTTTCTAATCTGTTATTGTTGGTACCTTCCCATTTTACAAATGATAGTGTTCCATTCACTGTCATTTAGGGAGGTATGATAATCAGTGTGCACCCATGTGAAAACTTGGACATTATTGTAGAAACCATGTGTTGTCCATGCAGCACGATCCCTTTCTCTGCCTTCATTATTTCCTCTACATCACTGTTCCTCAACTTTTTTGTGTGTATGCCCTGCACTACCTTTCTAAAATTCTTATGCCCCCTATGTAACATGTATATAATTTAAAAAAAAATCAAAGCAACTATCGGTCACTCTGAAAATTCCTAACATGTGTGACCTCAAGAAAGACAGACACAATCCTCAACTAGCAGACAAGTATAGAGAGATAAATATTCAGATTAGAAAAGAAATGCAAGAGGCAATAGAAAGCAAATGTGCAGAAATAGAAAATGTAACAAACTTAATAATAGTAACAAAGCTTTTAGTATTTTTTGAAACATCAATCAAGAGAAAACATCAAGAAGTATCACCATCCATTGTACCATACCACAGAAAGTAATGATGTTCTGAACAATGTTCAAGCCTGCATAACGAACATACAAATAGCAGCATCGACATCTTTGACAACAACCAAGCACAGGAAGGTGGCAGCTTTCCCAATACTCTAGGATGAAGTAGAATTGGCCATCAAAACTCAAAATGGAAAAGCTGATGAAATTGACAACATCCCAGCTGAGATCCTTGGGGGAGGGGGGAGGGGAAATTGTCTAGAATTACCCAGACAACATCAGTCCTTGCCAACCAAGCAGCAAATATTATGGAGATCCCAAAAATTTCATGCAAAACTAAGATTCGATTGCTCAGAGCACTATCTGTTAGTTCATTTACATATGGCTGTGAAAAATGGACTTTAACAGGTGAACTCGAAAGTAAGATACAAGCATTGGAAATGTGATGTTTCAGAAAAGGTTTTGGCATATCATACAGAGACCACATTACAAAATGAAAAGGTTTGCCATATAATTATACAGCACATTGGCAACCATGAACCTCTTTAACTACAGTGAAAAGGCGAAAAATTCAATGGTATGGTTATGTAATAAGATCTAACGGCCTCTAAAAAACAATACTGCAGAGGGAAATGGGAGAAAAGGCAGACCAAGAAAGACCTGGTTACAGAACCTGACTGACTGGACAGGCCTCAGGCGTGCAACCATGAAGTCCATTGCAACTGACCACCAAAGGTGGAAAGAGCTGATCAGTCAACAGAAACTGGTTACTCAACGGCATGTAGTGTGACGAGATGATGTTGGTGAGCATTTATGTAAGGAGAAATGAAATGTTAAATGGTAAAATAGAAAATTCTTTTTCTGTAACTCACAGGGCAAAAAAGACATAGAGGGAGACTAGTGTTACATAGACTTGCTGTCACCATACATAATTACCTTACTGGTTGTCTCTTATGTAGCAGTATTTGGTTCTTGTTAAATGTATTTCTGGAATGGATAACAATCTGTGATACCTTCAACAGATCCTTCATAAAATTGATGTAGAGAATGAGAGGCTTCCTCAACCTCCTCACTGCCCGAGTGACATGTACCAGCTGATGATGCAGTGCTGGGCCCACAAACCTTCAGACCGACCGTCTTTCTCAGCTTTGAAGGACCTTCTCTCAGAGGTAAGCACTTATTTTCACTTAGATGTAGGTAATCCAACGAGCAACTTTCTCTCATAACGGTGTGTCAACTGTGAGGTCTTAATTTATATTAGGGGATTGTCTGCCTTCCTTCATCGCCACCTTGACTATCTTTCCTTTAAAAAATTTAGTTGTGCATCCTTAACAGGACATTGCAAAATCAACCACCATAATTTTTTCTTGCTGTTTGTGATTTCACTAGCCGGTTTTTAAGTTCAGCTGTTTTTGCCATAAGAGTATAGTGGTTAGACGCTCACCTGCGGATAGGAAGATTGTGGGTTTGGGTCCTGATGGAGCCGGATTTAAAAAAAGTAAAATAACCTTGACTCCCAGTTCGACCCAGCCATGAGTGGGTACCGAGTACAATCCTGGGAAGTATAGGCGGCTGGCTTGATGCTGACCACATTACCCACCAATTGCTGACTGGTCTATAAAATATAGGTTTAGCCCTGTATGAAGGCATGGAAAAAAGTTCTTCACTTAGTTTTGCCATTTTCCCCCGAATGTTCGGCTCTCAATGCCACTGTCGAAACTAACGCAACATGGTCTGCTTTCAGATCGCCCACAGTTGAAATTGAACTGGGTTCTTTGGAATTACAAAGCATTTTCACAATGCCTAAGCCGAAAATGCTGACAACTATCTTTAGAAAGCATGAAATTGATCCTGTACACATTGAAATTTGGCGTGAGCCTCACAGCTGTGCTGAATAGTTTACTGTCTGGCCAGTTAGAGGGAACCTGACTGCTGTGATGGAAAGGTGACTCTCTGGCCAGTTAAAGGGAACCTGACAGCTGTACTGGATAGGTGACTGTCTGGTCAGTTAGAGGGAACCTGACAGCTGTGCTGGATAGGTGACTGTCTGGCCAGTTAGAGGGAACCTGACAGCTGTGCTGGATAGGTGACTGTCTGGCCAGTTAGAGGGAACCTGACAGCTGTACTGGATAGGTGACTGTCTGGCCAGTTAGAGGGAACCTGACAGCTGTGCTGGAAAGGTAACTGTCTAGCCAGTTAGAGGGAACCTGACAGTTGTGCTGGATAAATGACTGTCTGGCCAGTTAGAGGGAACCTGACAGCTGTGCTGGATAGGTGACTGTCTGGCCAGGTAGAGGGAACCTGACAGTTGTGCTGGATAGGTTACTGTCTAGCCAGTTAGAGGGAACCAGACAACTGTACTGGATAGGTGACTGTCTAGCCAGTTAGAGGGAACCAGACAACTGTACTGGATAGGTGACTGTCTGGCCAGGTAGAGCTGGATAGGTGACTGTCTGGCTAGGTAGAGGGAGCCTGACAGCTGTACTGGATAGGTGACTGTCTGGCTAGTTAGAGGGAACCAGACAACTGTACTGGATAGGTGACTGTCTGGCCAGTTAGAGGGAACCTGACAGCTGTACTGGATGGATGACTATCCGGCCAATGCAGAGAATTGAACCTGGGCCAATATGCTGGTGGCAGTATGATAATCACTTTGCCACCACTGGTTTAATTTCAAGATTACCTGTTCATGGTATATATATATATTATATAGTATCTCTGTCTTAATCTCTCTTAGCATTTTATCTTTGCCATTCTCTCTCTCTCTCTCTCTCTCTCTCTCTCTCTCTCTCTCTCTCTCTCTCTCTCTCTCTCTCTCTTTGTGTGTGCGTGTATGTTCATATGCAGCATCTTGTGCTTGAATTGGATCATCTTTGTGGGAAGCTTGCACTACACACCAAATGTATGTCTTGATGTCTTCTGACAGCTGAGGCCAGATAATGTGAAAGCTTTACAGGGATTTAGTGAGCAGGGTCGACTGTCAGTTGAGGAAGGTGATCTGATCACGGTGATTGATGGAAAGTAAGTTTTGTTATTGTTTCTTATTTATTTCTGTGTGTTGATTTATTTTATATTGTTTTTGTTTTTGTTTAGTGCAATGAGTCGTCTTCTACTTGCAGTAAGTAGTTGATGACCTTGGGCTTGTTGTCTAGGTGATGATGTGTCTAGTATATGCTCTTAGCACACATTCTTACGATGACATAACTAACAGTTATCAGACTCCAACATGCTGATGGATCTGGTTGTTACCACCTTCACACAGACTGGCCTGGCTGGACTTGGCTTTGATGGATGTTGTCGTCTGGTCTTCCTCTCTCAACAATCAGTCTCACGTTATCATTCTCCCGAACACTTTAACGTCCTTTCGCTCTGATGGTCAACACATACTAATCCATTCTAACTGGGGTCTGTTCTTATACCCAGTGTTCGTTCCACATGGCAACACGTGGTTGTTCTTGGGTTCCACGTGGCGACCTGTGGTCGTTCTCCTTTACATCCATGTGATAACTCGTGGTCATCCCCTATCTTGAAAACCTCGTTTAATCTGAGTATCTGGCTTCTCTCTGTATTATTGTTAGCTTGGGGCTTTCCCCCCAACCTTCCAATCCGGGTGAAAATATCCCCCATAATATTTAGTGACAGTGCTCTGTTTTCCCCCTTTATTTTTAAAAAGGAATTCCAGTTATCTTTTTCTTCTTCTCTTCCTGTAGTTACTCTATCAGTGGGTTGATGGGAGATGTGAGGGTGTTCTTTGTGCTCTTTCTAATGCATCCTGTAAGTTGATCTTCGTAGTTTTAAGGATGTTCTTGATGTCGTCATGCCAAATGTTTGTATGGACTTTCCCCTTGCTCTGTGTTCATTTTTATTTCTGCAGCACAGCTGGCCGCAGCAATTGGTAATGGGACAATGTCATAAGATGGATTAAAAAAATATGTATAAATGTTGATCTTTAATGAATTGGATGGCTGATTTCAGTCCTTGTCATCTTCTGATTTCTTCATTTTGGGTTATGAAATTAATATGTATGGGAGGTAATATAACATGTCCAAACATTTATAAAGAATCACACAGCTGGCATTAGTCTTATGTTCAGATTCTTCTTCATCCAGTTGCCCTGAAAGTTCTTACAACTTTTTTTTTATAAAAGGTCATAACCTGTAGGAATTTTCAGGAAGAAAAAGTGATGTTCAAAAAAGAACAAATGTTTTACACAGCTAACTAAATTTAATTATCTGAATATTTTAGTATTGCTTGAAATATATAAAGATGTGTAAAGGAAGTAGTCAGTAAACAAGAACAGAAGGCATTCCCTGGGGCCAAAAACAAGTGTATTGGGTGACCCATCCCAAGACCTCTACCAATGAGGCTTAGGGGAACATTTTAAGTCAGCTTGGCTCTTAAAAAGCCATTGGAGTCACAATGAAGCTCCTTTAAATGATATATATAGTTTATATTCACATCCGGGCCCGCTGAACATTACACGGGTGCACATATAACCAGTGCCATTTAACTACGCTTTTCCAGAACATATCGCTGCAGAAACTGATATATTAACATTTACGTGGATGTGTCACACCCTGAAGTGACTAGATTTAGCCCTTCTTAAGGTGAAAGGGTTGAGACAAAGATTTTTTCTAACCCTCTTGCTCTAGGAACACTTTAAGAAAACAAAATATCCTTTAAATATGTTTACACAGGTCACTAATAAATTGTTACAAATGTATCATTATTTAAAAATGTGTTTCTGAAAATAAATAAAGATAAATGAAGAGGTGATGGCTGAACCATTTCATTCTTTGCCCGTCAATATAATTCAGACACTGTCTTACCCCGGCTTTCACTCTATTTCTGGTATTCGTAATCCTGGCTTTTCTTTTGTTGTTAATGACGCTATTGCTATTAGGATAGGTGTTGTTATGCTTTGGCAGATTCTAGCCACCATATGAGGTGGTGCGACCAGCAACCTTCCTCATCATCTTTCCTTCCCAGTCAATTGACAATGATAAAAATTGTCTTGTACCCGTTTTGATGAGGCTCATTGACACTATGCCAGTGTTGAATGTTGAATTAAGAATCAACATCCTAGCATTCAGGACACTCCCATAAGTGCTTTGTCCCCATCTTCAGCAGCAAGCAATGAGTTACAATTCTGATGGTACCAGTAACTGTCTGATTTTACATTTGTCTCGCCTGTCCCTTGAGTGTTGAGCATCAGCCAGATCCCCTGGTAACTTCAAGCAGTGCCATTCAAGCAGTGCCATAATGGTTTATTTGTGCCTCCGCACTGTTCATTCACCCCAAAAAGGCCCTCACAACATCTAGCTTGTCCTACATCAATTTACCACCACGTGGTGCAGAACCAGCAAGTCTGTCTGCCTGTTTGTTTCCCAACACACCAGCATGACCTTGAGAAAATATCTAAGGATGCTAACTACCAAAGACTTCTGACGTGATGTTTGCCACTCTGCACGAAGCATGTCTGTCATGCCTGTCTACCTTTCTCAGCGTACTCTGTGAGTCAGTTACAATTATGACATGTGTGTACAACTTATTCTCAATCCAGCGCAAGGCATCATTTACTGCTTCCACCTTCATTTTGAAACTAGACATTTTGACATAATATGCACTGACTATTTTCTTTTTTTTTAAAGGTATAGAAAACTTACTTCCCTCTCCTCGGAGAAAAAGGAACTGTAACTTCTTATTTTCTATATCTTATATTTCTTCTCTCTCCCTTTCTCATTTTAAGTCCCTTCCCCCTCCTAAAATCACCTGGTTACATTATGACCCTTGTGATTGGTAGTCTTGTATGTCTACTGGCTTCTTTCTGGTTTACTTTCATTTATTTCTGAGAGATAGTTTTCCCTGCCATGGTGCCAAACTGACCAGCATCTTCTTTGTTGTTGTTGTTGCCTTTTGGCTGTTTCTCTTTCCCTCCAGCTTTCCCCCTTGTCACAATGTACTGCTGTTATTCCTTTCTCACGATGTGACTAAAGTATGTAGACTTTGTCCTTGCAGACAAAAATACAAGTAGAACTAAATCCAAGCTCATTAAGCCACCTTGTCTATGAAATTTATTGCATGGAACAACATGCTTTTTCCCCCTAGACCCGACAGGTTTTGGTGGAAAGGTCAGAATCGGCGGACGACACAGATTGGAACATTTCCTCGTGCTCTGGTTATGGTCCAAAGGAAGCTAGGAGGTGAGTGGTCTTGTTTTCTTGTGCGATATTGTCTTCTCTATAACTCAGCTGGTTTCTAGGGGTTTGTTCTTATTGAAGACATGATTGACACTCAAAGTAGACACAGGTTGTACAAGAAGACGATATCTCATTTATATACTTTATTACAATTTCACATACCATTTGTACAGTCAGTGTCCACTACCAACTAGCAAGTCCAGCATTATAATATGACATTGTTCAGATATCAACTTGGAGTATTCTCTCGTTCGCACTCAATACCTCTCTGTCCTCTTTCCTCACATTCAGAATACACGCTATGATTCCTCTGGCTGTTCTAAGCATGGTGGTTCGACTTCTTGAGCAATTGGAATTGGCTGGATGCCACTTCAGACTGGATCGTCAGCAGGCTGTCATCTTTCTCTCAGAACAGTACTCCTCACGACACCAAATACACTGTTACATTCACGCTGAATCTCAGATACACCCTTTTGCCCCAGCTGGCAAACACATACTGCCTTATTAGACCTTTGTCTAATCTTATAACCTTGTACTGGGTTTCACGTGCTCGTCTACCCTGCTCAAGTACCACGTGTTTCTACGAATATTTGCTTTATCCCATTTTTCTGTCATATCTCAAGGTTTCCCCCTCACATTTTTTCCTAGAGAATTCCCGTGTGAAAATATCAACATTTCATCTTGTCAGATGTGAATTAGTGTAAGGTGTCTTCAAAAAGTATCCAACCTGTGGCTGGGAAAGTAAAAACTACTTACCTAGAGATCCAAAACCCTAATTCCCTTACAGTACAACAGTATTTGTCACTGTAACAAATATTAGCGAGTATTTCATTGTGGAAGTATTCTATTGTTAGTGAAAATGTAAGAGTATTTCACTGTGACCAGTATGAGGAAGTATTTCATTGTGATAAATATGTGGGGGTATTTTATTGTTACTGAATATATTGTAGTATTTCACCTAGCTGGCTCTGCACCACTAGGTGGTGAATTGATGTATGACAAGTTGGATACTGTGAGGGCCCTTTGGGAGCATGTAAACAGTGCAGTGGCACAGATAGATCATTATGGTCTAAGGAGAATGGCACTGCGAGGAGTTAACAGGGGATCTGGCCGAGGCTTAACACTCTGGGAAGGATGAGATGGATATACAATCAAACGGATACTGGTGCCATTTGAATTAGAACTGTCTACTTGCTGCTGAAGATTTGGACTGAGAACTTTTGGGAGTGTCCTGAGTGCTGTGATGATACTGTAGGAGTATTTCATTATAACCGAATGTGTAGGAGAATTTCATTATGACCAAATATGTAGGAGTATTTCATTATGACCGAATATGTAGGAGTATTTCATTATGACCGAATATGTAGGAGTATTTCATTATGACCGAATATGTAGGAGTATTTCATTATGACCGAATGTGTAGGAGTATTTCATTATGACCGAATATGTAGGAGTATTTCTTTATGACCGAATATGTAGGAGTATTTCATTATGACCGAATATGTAGGAGTATTTTTTATTATGACCGAATATGTAGGAGAATTTCATTATGACCGAATATGTAGGAGTATTTTTTATTATGACCGAAAATGTAGGTAGGAACAAAGAAAACTAAGATCATGACAAACAGTCCAAACCAACAACCAGTGACCATAAGTAACCAATCACTTGAAAATGTAGAACATTTCACATATCTTGGCAGAGTAGTGTCCCTACTGAGAGGGACAGAGGAAGACATACAGTCACGTCTGAACAAAGCTAGAGCTGCTTTTGGAAGGATGAGGCAAATCTGGAAATCCAACAATTACTGCAGAGGAACGAAACTCCGACTCTACAAGAGCATCATTTTGCCAGTTCTTCTTTATGGAGCGGAATGCTGGAGAATGACCAAAAAGGATGCACACAAGCTGTCCACCTTCCACCACACATGTCTACGTAGAATTATCAAACTTTTCTGGCCAGATACAATCTCAAACACTAAACTACCTCAAGCCACAAACCAAGAAACTTTAGACAGTATGATTACCAAGAGAAGATGGAAATGGCTTGGCCACGTTATAAGAATGACTTCTGTTATACCTGCCAAAACAGAGGGAAAGAGAAAACAGGGGCGCCCAAAAACAACATGGAGACGAACGATAGAAAGTGACCTGAGTGCGGCATCTTTGACATGGAAAACAGCACTGAAGATTGCACAGGACAGGAAAGCATGGAAAGTCCTCTCTGAAGCCTCATGTGCCACTAGGCATAACGAGAACTGATGATGATGAATGTGTAGGAGTATTTCCTTATGACGAATATGTGGGAGTATTTCATTATGACGAACATGTGGGAGTATTTCATAATGACGAATGTGTAGGAGTATTTTTCATTATGACCAATATGTAGGAGTATTTCATTGTGACCAATATGATGGAGTATTTCATTATGACGGAATATATAGGAGTATTTCATTACGACCGAGTATGTAGGAGTATTTAATTATGACTGAATATTTGAGAGTATTTCATTGAGATGAATATGTGGGAGTATTTAGATGTGACAAATATGTGTTAATATTTCATTGTGATGAATGTTTGGGGGTGAATGAATGTGTGGTAGTATTTACTTCTGACTGAATGTGTGTAGGTATTTAATTGTGATGAATGTGTGTGGGGTATTTCATTGTGACAAATATGTGGGAGTAATTCATTGCAGAATATTATGTGGGCATATTTCATTGTGACAATTAGTTGCTGTGACTGAAATAGTCTAGGCACTTTACAGTGACTGAATTAGTCCAGGTATTTCATTGTGACCGAATTAGTCCAGGTATTTTGCTGTGACTGAATTAGTCCTGATATTTCATTGTGACTGTATTAGTGCAGATATTTCACTCTGACTGAAATAGTCCAAGTATTTCAGTGACTAGGTATTTAACTCTGATTGAGTTAATCCAAGTATTTCAGTGACTTATAGTCTAGGTATTTCACTGTGATTGAATAAGTCAAAGTATTACAGTGACTAATATAGTCTAGGTATTTCACTGTGATTGAATAAGTCAAAGTATTACAGTGACTAATATAGTCTAGGAATTTCACTGTGATTGAATAAGTCAAAGTATTACAGTGACTAATATAGTCTAGGTATTTCACTGTGATTGAATAAGTCAAAGTATTACAGTGACTAATATAGTCTAGGTATTTCACTGTGATTGAACAAGTCAAAGTATTACAGTGACTAATATAGTCTAGGTATTTCACTGTGATTGAATAAGTCAAAGTATTACAGTGACTAATATATTCTAGGTATTTCACTGTGGCTGAATTAGTCCTGATATTTTATTGTGACTTAATTAAGGTATTTAACTGTGACTGACTTAGTCCTGAAATTTCTTTGTGACTTAGTTAAGGTATTTAACTGTGACTGAATTAGTCCTGATATTGCATTGTGACTGAATTAGTCCAAGTATCTATCTCATTGTGACTGAATAAATCCAGGTATTTCATTGTGACTGAATAACAAGTCTAGGTATTTCACTGTAACTGGATAAGTTCAGATATTTCATTGTAACTAAGTAAGTTCAGGTATTTTTTGTGTGACTGAATAAATCCAGGTATTTCATTGCAACTGAACTAGTTCCGGTATTTCATATGACTGAGTAAATCCAGGTATTTCATTGCAACTGAACTAGTTCCGGTATTTCATATGACTGAGTAAATCCAGGTATTTCATTGCAACTGAACTAGTTCCGGTATTTCATATGACTGAGTAAATCCAGGTATTTCATTGTGACTGAACTAGTCCAGGTATGTCATTGTGACTGAACTAGTCATGGTATATGGACTGGACTATGTCCTTGTGGTAGAATAATAGTATGCCATTGTGATCAAATGTGTCATCATGACATTTGTTTTTTTAAGTTGTAGAATATTTGCAGTAACAAAATTCAAAATGTTACCACTGAAATAGGAAACGGAAAACAAAAAGGAACACACAAATCCTAATATGACACTGATGTCTCACCTGGCTGTGTAATCTTTCTCTGAACCATGAATGCATGTGTGTTATATAATAGCAGCAGTGAAGAAAAAATTAAGCTGCTTGTTGGTGCAGACTTGGTTGTGAATTATGTGCACGGCTGTGACCTTGTGTTCCATGGTCGTTAATTTTACCTGACACCAACAATGCTGTGCTTGGGCTGTCCTGGTGTATTTCATGTGTGATACCTGCTCTTCTTCTTCTCTTCTTTTTTACCTCTGCATTTTTCTCATTTTGTCTATTTATTTTCCCTTCTTCTTCCTTTTATCTCCACCCTCCTGTGATTTCTCTTCGAGTTTTTTTTCTTTCCTTCTCTTCCTGAATCCTCCTTTTTTGCGTCTTCCTTTTTTTCCTTCTCCTCCTCCACCATATTCTTTTATTTCCTCATGTTCATTTTCCTCTTCCCTTTCATTTTCTTCTTCTGGTTTTTTTTCATCCATTGTTTTTTTCCTTTCTTTTTATTCTTTTTCTTGCCCACTTTCCCTTTTTGTTTCTTATTTTCCCTCCTCATTCGCCACCCACATCTTCTTTATTATGACCTGTTTTTGCAGGCGGAATATCCAAGGCTGAAAAGTAATTTTTCATCAGATCTTTTTGTGAAAAGGGCACCGGTGAAATCACAATTGCTTGTGCTTAAAGTTCATGGTGACAGATTTTGTTCTTGATTCCTTGGCATAATAGATACAGAAAATGAATAAATATGCAGAACAAATGGTCGGGGAATGGGGAGAGAGACGGAGAAAGAGAGAGAGAGAGGGAGACATACAATGATTGAAAAAGACACACAGATACCACAAGATATACAGAGACAGAAGGAGAGAACTGTGGAGAATATACAGAGACAGAAAGAGAGAACTATGGAGACAAAAGACAGAGAGAGACCAAGATAGAGTCAGATGGACACACAGCGAGACATAGTGAGATAAAGAGAGAGAGAGAGAGAGACACACACACAAACAGACAAAGAGAGAGAGAGAGAGATATACAGAGAGACAGAAAAACACAGAGGCACAGAAAGAGTGAGAGAGACAGAGTAAGATAGAGAAACAGGCATACACAGAGACAGTGAGAAAAATACAGGGAAACAGAAAGAAAGTCAGACAGACACACATAGAGAGAGAGAGAGAGAGAGAGAGAGAGAGAGAGAGAGAGAGAGAGAGAGAGAGAGAGAGAGAGAGAGAGAGAGAGAGAGAAAGAGAGACTGAGTGAGATAAAGAAAATGAACACATTTTTTAAAGTCACAAATTGGGCCACATGCCTTTCTTACATTTGACCCTAAAGGGATTGGGGGGGGGGGGGGGGGGCTCAGGTGGTTATCAACCAGGTCATACACAGCCAGTTCTCCATGCTGACCTCCAGAGAGGCAGAAGCAGCAGTGGCTGTGCAAGGATCTCCTAGAGACAGGATGTAGTTTATCAAGCCCTGGAAGCACTTGTCGGCCAGCCATGACATATGTAGACCCTTGTTTTGTCCTGGGTCGTACAGTTTCCTTGTGGTTTTGTGTCTGCTGGATGTGTATTCTCATTTTCTCACTGGTTTGTACAGTGCGTAGTGCAAGTAATTGGTACAGTTATGTGAAGTAAAGGACTCCTGTTTTGATACTGTGAGGTACAGTCGGCACATGGTGCTAAAGTAAGGAAGCTTTTTCAAGCCTCTGGTGTGTCAGTACACTGTGTAGTGTACACTTGTTTTTTGAAAAACTCTCCTGGTACACCAGTCTTAAGCTCTGCTGGTACATTAGGCTTAAGCTCTGCTGATACACCAGATGTAAGCTCTTCTGGTACAACAGGCTTAATTCCGCTGGTGCAATAGACTGAATTCCGCTGGTAACTAGATTTAAGTTCCACTAGTACACCAGACTTAAGCTCCGCTGGTGTACTAGACTTACACTGTGCTGGTACACTAGGCTTAAGCTCTGCTGGTACACTAGGCTTAAGCTCTGCTAGTACACTAGGTTTAAACTCCACTAGTACTTAGACCTAAGCTCTGCTTGTACAGGAGACTTAAGCTCTGCTGGTACACTAGACTTAAGCTCTGCTGGCACACTAGACTTAAATTCCTATATTACAGAAGACTTAAGCTCTGCTGATACACCAGGTTTAGGCTCTTCTGGTACACCATGCTTAAGCTCTGCTGGTACACCAGGTTGAAGCACTGTTGTTACATGAGACTTAAGCTCTGCTGAAATACTAGATTTAAGCTTGTCTGGTATGTCAGTCTTAAGCTCTGCCGGAACACCAGACACAACTTTTTGAGTATCAAACTTGCCACGCATTAAATAAAAAAAAATTTATACTTGTGTGACAGACATTTCTCATCTCCTTCCTTATATAATTGCTGCATTAACCTTCTATGTCGCGGTTGCTAGCTTACCTCCTTCTGCCCACAGTGTTATAATTTTCACTACTTAATGATCAAATATCTGTGATCAAATTCTTAGTTTACAGTTAAAGAAAAGTATGCCTGGGACTGAAAGTGTTAGGCTCCGCTGGTACATTTGACTTGAGCTCTGCTGGTACACTAGGCTTAAACTCTGCTGGTACACCAGGCCTAAGCTCTGCTGGTACACCAGGCTTAAGCTCTGCTGTTCAAGTAGACGAGCTCTGCTGGTACAGTAGACTTGAGCTCTGCTGGTACACTGCACTTGAGCTCTGCTGGTACAATAGACTTGAGCTCTGCTGGTACAGTAGACTTGAGCTCTGCTGGTGCAATAGACTTGAGCTCTGCTGGTACACTAGACTTGAGCTCTGCTGGTACACTGGACTTGAGCTCTGCTGGTACAATAGACTTGAGCTCTGCTGGTACAATAGACTTGAGCTCTGCTGGTACAATAGACTTGAGCTCTGCTGGTACAATAGACTTGAGCTCTGCTGGTACAATAGACTTGAGCTCTGCTGGTACAATAGACTTATGCTCTGCTGTTGCAGTATGTAAACATGTCTTGTGATCTTAATCTGTTTCAGGAGCTGACATTAGCATCCCACTGAAAAACAGCTTCATTCACACAGGACATGGAGGCCCTCTTGGGGACAACTGGGGTGACCCAGGGGCCATTGATGAGTATGTATTTCTTATAACAACTGTAGTTGGGGCAGTAGGGTTGCAGTGTCTAAGACAGTGTTTCCCAAACCTTTCTTGGTCGCGTTGTCATTTTTCAGTTACAATGTTTCCACGGCACACTAACCTAAGTAAAAGTATGACTATTCGTGTCTCTGTTATATTAATTATCTAGCTTTTACAATATTTAGCGGCGCCCATGTGAAGAGGCAGCAGCTCCCTGGGGCGCCACGGCAGTTTGGGAATCACCGGTCTAAGGTACTTGCTTTCTTACCTGGAACTTCTGGTTTTAAACATCCACAGGAGGGTTCCAGGGGCCGCATTTGGGGAGGGGGGGGGGGGGTGCAGATGGACCTAATACCTCCTAAGGGTTAAAGTCAAGAGGATCGACTTTTCATTGCACCAGGTTATCCCTTAGGATAACAAACCCCAGAGGTCGCTGTAAAAAGTGCACTCATGAACTAAGCAGCGCAGCTGTGAAACGAACCTATGACACTCTAGATAAAAATAAGCCAGATGTGTCTGGATACAAAAAAGCTAGATCTAAAGTAGCCAGATTTTGATTTAAAGTAGCCAGATCTAGACACAAATGCCAAATCTGGATACAAATAAGCCAAATCTAGATACAAGAAAGCCAAATCTGGATCAAAACATGCTAGATCTAGATACAAAGTAGCCAGATTTGTATTTTAAAAGCCAAAATCTGGATTAAAATAAGCCAGATCCAGATACAAATAAGCCAGATATATCTGGTTACAAATAAGCCAGATATGGATACAAATAAACCAGATCTTGATAAAATAAAAAAGGATCTGGATACAAAAAGCCAGATCTAGATACAAATAAGCCTTCCGGTTAAAATGGACGCTAGACAGCGGCGCTGTTCGAGGCAGAGACAAATCTTTTGCTTCTGCCGGACGGTGGCCGAAGTATTTTTGCTCCATTTGTAGACTGGATATAGTTTCGTCGCCCAGCTTCTGAGGTAATGCATGGCGTGACCAGGTGAGCTGCGGATTTCAATTGGAATGTTTTTTCGACTGACCAACGTGTTGGTGTGAATTGTAGATTTGGAAAATGGCGTGATGCCTGTCGTGCAATGTTGGCGGTTCCCGTTTGTGATTACAATTGATCGCGTGGGTAACTGCTGATCTGTTGGCGACAAGTTCTGCTATCATCAATGATGAACTGCATTTCTAATGTTGGACTGTTTGTTTAGCACTTCGGATGGCTACCGTATGCTTTAATGCGAGTGTATGCTAGATATGCTGAGACAGCAGTCTGTCAATCTTTCCACAAGAGACTGATAAACATTCTGAGTGTTTTTCGTTGGCACAGGAGCGGAGCAAAGATGGGGCGACCCGTTTGCTATGAAGCTGAAACTAAGACTACCAGACTACAAATAAGCCAAATCTAGATACAAATAAGCCAAATCTAGATACAAAAAAGCCAGATCTGGATACAAATACGCCAAATTCAGATACAAGGAAGCCAAATCTGGTTTAAAATAAGCCAGATCTAGATACAAATAAGCCAGATATATCTAAATACAAAAAGCTGGATTTGGATACAAAAAGCCAGATCTGGGATATGAAAAGCCAGATCTGGATACAATTAAGTTAGATCAGGATTCAAATAAGCCAGATCTAGATACAAACAAGCTGGATCTAGATACAAACAAGCCAGGTCTGGATACAAATAAAAATGATCTGGATACAGCCAGCTCTAGATATGATAAACCAGATCTGGATACAAAGTTAGATCACGATTCAAATAAACCAGATCTAAATACACATAAGCCAGATCTGGATACAAAGAGGCCAAATCTAGATACCAAAAAGCCAGACCTGAATATAAATAAGACAGGTCTGGATATAAATAAGCCAAATCCTGAAACAAGAAAGCCAAATCTGGATACAAAAAGGCCAGATCTAAATACAAATAAGCCAGATCTGGATACAAATGATAGGTCTGGATATAATATAAGCCAAATCTAGATGTGAAAAAGCCAGATCTGGATGCAAATAAGCTAGATCAGGATTCAAATAAGCCAGATCTAGATACAAGTAAGCCAGATCTGGATACAATAAATCTAGGTCCAAATAAATGAAATCTAGATACAAGGAAAACCAAATCTGAATTAAACTAAGCCAGATCTAGATACACATAAGCCAGATTGTAATGCAAATAAGCCATATCTGGATTTTTAAAAAGTATCTGGATACAAATAAGCCAAATCTAGATACAAGAAAACAAGATCTAGATACAAATATCTCTGATCTGGATACAAATCAGCCAGATTTTGATACAAGATAAAAGCCAAATTTGAATTAAACTAAGCCAGATCTAGATACAAATAAGCTAGATATATCTAGATACAAATAAGCCAGATATGGAAACAAGCCAGCTGGATACAAAAAATATTCTGGATACAAAAAGGCTAGATCTAGATACAAGAAAGTCAGATTGGGACACAGATAAGCCAGATCTCAATACAAATAATCTAAATCTGATACAAATAAGCCAGATCTGTCTAGATAAAATCAAGCAGCGTCTGTCTAAATACTATAATAAGCCAGATCGGGATACAAATAAGTCAGATCTAGATACAAATATGCCGGGTCTGTCTGAATACAAATAAGCCAGACCTGGATACAAATAAGTCAGGTCTGGATACAAATAAGCCAGATCTGGATACAAATAAGCCAGATCTGTCTGTATACAAATAAACCACATTGGGATACACATAATTCAGATCTTAATAAAAATAAGCCAGATCTGGATACAAATTAACCACATTGGGATACAAATAATTCAGATCTCAATAAAAAATACGCCAGATCTGGATACACATAAGCCAGATCTGGATATAAATAAGCCAGATCTATATACAAATATAGTGTTCTGTACTGAGTCTGAAAATTGGGGTGCTAGCAGATGCAAGATTGCTAGAGGCAATCTACATTATTTGTCCATGTGATTATAAGGATAAAACTGGAGACCATCATTACAGTAGGAAAGTTGGAGGTAAGAAAAGACAGATGGAGACTGTGAGAAAAGATGCTGCACGCTTTGATATCATGGCATGGAGGATCACAGAAGGTTGTGGATAGACATGACTTCTAATGCCTCACAGCCTGGACTTTGAGAAGAAGAAGAAGCATTTCTTTCAAGCTGCTTATACTGTCATGCTTTGATCTGTAACTGTTATTCTTTTCATTCATATTTGTCTTCCACATTAGCGATCCTGTTGAGTCATTAATTCTCTGTTTTCTGCATAGACATTAGTTAATTAACATTTCTCCTGATTTACCATGACAGTATTTATCAGGGTCTGTCACAGAAACTTTATTGTACCTCCTGAATTCATCATCTTCTTCTTGTGCCATTTACACACCACATAGGACACACAGACAATTCCTTTGTTTCGTTCCTTCCTGTGCAATAATTAAAATTTTGTTGTTGTTGCAACTTTAAATAAAAATACTAAGGATGAAATCCAGTTCGGCACTTCTGGCTTTTCTCATGAACATTCATCCTTGCATCTCTCCTTGATGCCTTTTCCTCAATCCAGTTCAGCACTTCTGGCTTTTCTCATGAACATTCATCCTTGCATCTCTCCTTGATGCCTCTTCCTCAATCCAGTTCAGCACTTCTGGCTTTTCTCATGATCATTCATCCTTGCATCTCACCTTGATGCCTCTTCCTCAATCCAGTTCGGCACTTCTGGTTTTTCTCATGAACATTCATCCTTGCATCTCTCCTTGATGCCTCTTCCTCAATCCAGTTCGGCACTTCTGGCTTTTCTCATGATCATTCATTCTTGCATCTCTCCTTGATGCCTCTCCCTCAATCCAGTTCGGCACTTCTGGCTTTTCTCATGAACATTTATCCTTGGATCTCTCTTTGATTCCACTTCCTCAGTCTTTGTTCCTGTTTCAGTGCCTATTTTGTGATTCTCTGTCAGCATTGTCGAGAATGCCCAGTATATCCTATCTGCTTTGTCTTATAACTATTGATGACACTGGTTGTGTAGACATGTTTCTGACCCACCATGTATGGATTTTTCTCAGGGTGTATCTCAGAAACCCGATGGTGCCTCCTGACTTGGGTGAAGAGGATGCTGGTCTAGTTGCTCAACTCCGCACTAAAAGTAAGTAAACAGGATGTGGCTTTAGGATTGTTACAGAGTGTAACATTGGGGTGTTACATATACACATAGGAAAGGACCTCTTTTTATACCTTCAGGCATATTTGCCAGGTAGCGCTAGAACTATATTTTATAATCGGTACTTGGTGGTTGATGTGGTCACCATCATTCTGACTGACCATCACCATCATGCGGCCACCTTTACTTCCCAAGACCTTACCTGATACCCATTGTAAGGCTGGGTTGACCTGTAAGCCAAGGTCATTTTTGGAGAGAGAGAAACTTGGCTCTGTTCTCACTTGAACCTGTGACCCTCGGGTCCACAAGCGAGTGTGTCACCACTACACCACGGCAGCTGCACTGACATATACCTGTATATATTATATTATCATGTGCCCTCTCCACAGAGAAGGTTGCCTGCAGTGCACTTAATGCTGTCTCTGGGAATATGACATGTCGACACCCCAGTCTCTTCAGTGGTCTGAATCTCAGTCCGGATGCCACTGGAACAGTTTCTTCTTCGTTCACTGGCTGTAAATTCTGGCGAAAGGTCCCGGTTAATCGTCCGCTTGGACTTTTGGCTTTTACCTGGACCTGAGTTTTGCATGTACAACCGTTTTGCTGTTCCCTGCCTCATGGGCAGCTGTACTCCGACTTCGAGGGAAGATGTCAGGCCTATTTCTAGGATGACTGTGGCCATTGTTTTGTGTGGGTCGAGACGTTGCCTGATTTGTGTGGTGTCCTCTTTGTCGCCTTCTCCGCACGTGTTGCCCCCAGAGTACCCTTTGGGGCAGCCCCTTGTGGAACGGTTGGCCCTCAAGGTAAGGCAGGGGCAGATCATGGGCATTCCCCGCCATCCAAGGAGGCTTCCATGTATGCAGAGCCGGCACATGGCGCTATGGTTCTGGGCTCACCCAAGGAATCGTCACGTCCTGCACATGCCTGCTTAACCTCACAACCCTATTAGGCCTCCCGCTCGACAAGGGCTGCACCCTCTGGAAGTCAGCGGGGAGCAGCCCGTGGGTTCTGGACTTTTGTGACCACACGAATAGGTACATTCTTTTTCTTCGCACGTTAGCTATTTTTGACGAGCCGTTAGCCCGACAGAATTTTACATCCTGCATCAGGCATATCGTTATCTGTTTGGTCCCAACACTCGGGCGAGTGGGGTCTTTGGGTGTGGGCATTTGGACTTTTTCCCGTTCAATACGATTTGTGATGGTCGGATTTTGAGCTTACTCGTGTGCCGTAGGATCTAGTTTTGTCGGACATTTAGGCTTAGCCAGCCAATGGGCTGTTGCTATTGTGGTGTACCTCAGCGCGGTGATGATGACACTGAGCGTTAACAGAGGATGTACATGGGTAGAATCTTGCTGCGAGACGCCACCCACAGGAGATGTTACTTGTCTGTGCTGCGGGTAAATCTCTAGGTCAAGGGTTGAGTCTCAGCAGAACCATGTTCTCTTCACTCCGCAATCTTTTAACCAAGGGTTGTAATTTTAGTTGTACGTTTGGCAAGCACTTTACTCATGTTCCTAATGAGTTTTCATAACCTTTTTTTCACCCATGCGTTTGGGGGGCGGGCTGATGAAAGCCACAAGGACACATCACCTCTGGGGGCGCTAACTACGAGATCCCCTGACAGCTCTGTTAATGCTCATTTGAGACATTATCCATGGCGCACAACGAGGTCATGCTGCAGGGTTCCGTAAAACCAGAACAGTGAAGGACTGGCGCCCGAGTGACGTACGGAGTATCTCCTTATACACATCATACTTGACTTAACTTTTCCTCATGCCTGTGACATAAATCACTGGAATAGTTTATAAAGCAGGGCTATTCATCTGAGTTAACTCAGTAGTCAAAACTTTGAAAGTAGGGGTGGTCACAGGCCATAGGCTCAAGCCGCAGCATAGATAGGTTGTTATTACAGTACAACTGGCCGTGATCCACGGGCCCATTTTCTAGATCTCGGCGGGCCAGATGTGGTCCACAAGCTGCCAGTTGAATAGCCCTGCTCTACAGGATTAATTTGAAAATGAGAAAATCTGGCATTAGAATTGGTACAGAATGTAACATCGGGCTGTGGGCATGAGGGTACTTTGATGCATCACCAACAGGACACACATTATATATGTCTAGTTTGTCATGTGTACACTTAATTCTGCAGCGAGGCGCGGTCATCATGTGGATGTGACAGGTTTGTTTTCCTGTAAGATAACTGCAACTTTTAAATATTTTTTTTTTAAATTTTCAATGTTGTCTACTGTGACCTTGTTTTCTATACTACCTTTGATAGATCACACACACATACACCTATATAGGGTCGAGTTGAGTCAAAAATTCACAACACAGCACTCGGGGCATTCCCATTTGTGCTCCGTCCTCATCTTCAGCAGCCAACACAGTTACATGTATAGAGTTAGTTCTCAGTGGACATATGTGGCAGGAGTTCTTACTGAGCACAGAGACCTCAGCATGGAGCGTGAATGAATATCTGGGTCATGCCAGGCAGTAGTGAAAAATATTCAAGTCAAATGAGATATCAAACGTGCCATCTTTACAAAATCCTAATTATCCTCATGCTGCAGGTCCTTTGCAGAACATTGCTGTCATCACAGCCTGTGTGACAGAAACTGGGTCTCTCGCCAGCTCTCCCACCTTGTGCGCTTTCCTAACCAAAGAGTCACTAATATCCTGTGCCCATCTTTGTGCTGGTCGACCCATGCCCCTATTTCCTGGTACAATGTCTGATTGTATAATTTTGTCCAATCTGTCATGGCACTTGATATGGCCAAAATATGTCAGTTTCAAATGCACCTGAAGATATCACAATCACATATGACAGAATAAGTGTTTCAGCTATAAAGCCTTCATCAGCACTTGATACAGATAGTTAATGATACAGTTGTATAAAAGAAAACATAAAATAACTATTCACACTTGAACTGAGAGGTTCTGCATGACCTTGCAGGAGTAAGGTACTGGACAGGAAGTGACCCCCGTAGGGATATATAGGTGGTGAGAGGTTACAGTCAAGGGGCATGGTGCCCCTGATAAAACTGTTGGACATCAACTCATTCAAACCTGGACGATTTTGTAGCATATGCTCAGATGACAAAGAAAATGCACTACAGTCAACAGATTGTTATTTTTAAAAAGGTAAAACAGTTGAAAGAAGCAAATGCAAAAAGTAAGTAAAGGACACCTTTCCCCGCCTTTAGGCATATTGGGCATAAAGGGCTGGACCTATATTTTATAGACCGATGGACACTTGATGGGTGATGTGATCAGCATCATGCCAGCCACAGATATCACAGCCGGCTGTAAGCCACAACACAACACACCAACTACTCTTATGAGAGCAATGGAAAAAGACAAACTTAGACCATTGTCTTGGCAGGCAGACACACAGACTGCTATCACTGCAGCCCCTGTATGCTGCCTTGCAATGTGGGCTGCTATCACCGCAGCTCCTGTATGCTGCCTTGCAATGTGGGCTGCTATCACCGCAGCTCCTGTATGCTGCCTTGCAATGTGGGCTGCTATCACTGCAGCCCCTGTATGCTGCCTTGCAATGTGGGCTGCTATCACCGCAGCTCCTGTATGCTGCCTTGCAATGTGGGCTGCTATCACTGCAGCCCCTGTATGCTGCCTTGCAATGTGGGCTGCTATCACCGCAGCTCCTGTATGCTGCCTTGCAATGTGGGCTGCTATCACCGCAGCCCCTGTATGATGCCTTGCAATGTGGGCTGTTATCACCGCAGATCCTGTATGCTGCCTTGCAATGTGGGCTGCTATCACCGTAGCTCCTGTATGCTGCCTTGCAATGTTGGCTGCTATCACCGTAGCTCCTGTATGCTGCCTTGCAATGTTGGCTGCTATCACCGTAGCTCCTGTATGCTGCCTTGCAATGTGGGCTGCTATCACCGCAGCCCCTGTATGATGCCTTGCAATGTGGGCTGCTATCACCGCAGATCCTGTATGATGCCTTACAATGTGGGCTGCTATCACCGTAGCTCCTGTATGCTGCCTTGCAATGTTGGCTGCTATCACTGTAGCTCCTGTATGCTGCCTTGCAATGTTGGCTGCTATCACCGTAGCTCCTGTATGCTGCCTTGCAATGTGGGCTGCATTTGAATTGACAGTGGTGTTCCTGGTCTTACTGCAGATAAAGACAGCCATTTTGTTACTTTCCTAATGTATTATAGCACATTAATCCTGTCATCTCCTTGTAAGATGCAATTTTTCATTATTTGAAGCCCCACCCTGGCTCTTGCCATGGGCCGCAATATAACCCGACCATAAATATGGTCTAATGGCTGAACGTGGCTTCTGGGACCTCTCCAGGGGTGATCCTCATCCACATGGTGGCACTTTGTGTCACCGGGTGTTTATCGCTTGTGTGATGTCCTGGTGGGGTAAAAATCTACTACTACTACTACTACTACTACTACTACTACTACTACTACTACTACTACTTTCTTTATTGTAATGATGTGATCAGAAAATGTTTTAACATAAACTGTTATGATATGGACTATTACTTCTGTCCAACAGTAAATCTGAGCAACTCATTATTTGATTATGGGAAGCTGAAAGATGAGTCGGAGCAAAAGCAAGGCAACTCTTACTCAGGTCGCAGACGGCAATCACATAATCAGAACCAGAAATCATCAATGTCAAGGGCAGCCTCAGTTCCACAGATTTTAGAACAGCTGAACTCAGAAGGGCAAGTTCAATTCATCTTCTTAAATGTGTTTGGTTTTTGTTTTGTGCGTGTGGTTTTTTTTTTTCTTTCTAAATTTGTTTTGTTTTAATGATGTCATAGATGTACAGTCTGTAGTAGTTGAATTGAGTTGATTCAAGAACCAACATTACAGCAGTTGGGGCATTTCCTTAAGCGTTCCGTCCACATCTTCAGCAGCCAGCGCAGAGTTTCTGTCCTAATGGTACCAGTACCCTTTGATCATATGTCCATCTGCCTTTTCCTCTGAGCATCAAGTGTTGGCCAGATCCCCTCGCCAACCTCTCTGAATCACACTCGTGTTATCATAAGGCCTCAACACATCTGTCTTACCGTGCTTCAAGCTGTGGTGTAGTGGCTAGATGCTAGCATGCTGGCCTGGATGTCTTGGGTTCGGTACTGCTGTGGGCAGATTCAGATAATAAAATTAATTTTTTTTTCTTCCAACAGTCGACCCGTTCTCAAATGGCTGCCAGGCAATGTCCTGCGAAGTAAAGGTGGCTTGCAGGATGTTGACCACATTACCCGTCGAGTGCGGGTTGCTCTGAAAAATGTGGGACTAGCATCATGTACCTAATGCGCCACTGGCACAAAAATGGTCTTTTACATTGCCCATTGTCTGCAAAGGTTATTTTTCTTTTTTTGCCTTCATTGGCAGTAAACTCCGGTAGAAAGTTCTGGACTTTGGTCTCGTTCCAGAACTTGAGTTTTATATATATATTTCACAAGTCTGGCTTGTTTGCATACAGACTTTTGGTTCCTCTCATCTTAGGCAGATGTACTCTGACTTTAAAGGAAAAATCCATGATTAGTCATTTTAATGCCAAGCTTGTTGAAAAGTGGGGAGGAAGGGGGAGGGGGAATTAGCTCCCCCCTCCCCAATATGGGTCCGGTAACTCACATGGTGAAACATGATGTCAAATGCTGCTTTCGCTTGAGATATTCTACGTGTAAAACGTATTTAAAACATCTCCCTTCTGCTGTTATCGAGGTATTCTTCTTCTTCTTCGTGTTCACCAGCTGTACACTCTGGCGTAAAGTTCTGGTTGTTCGTCCACTACTGGACTGCAGTCATGCTCCAGAACCTGAGTGTTGCGTGTGCATCAGTTTTACAGATCTGATTCAATTTAATGCAGACTGCTGGTTCCTTGCCTCTCAGGCAGATGCACTCTGACTTCAAAGGAAGCTCCCCAGTTAGTCGACTCTTACGACATGCTTTTGGGGAGGCAGTGGGTCTATTCTTGTTTTCCCCACAATAGGGCCCAGGAACCCACACGGGGGATCAAGGTATTCAAATACATGAACAGTTAAGTGTTTCCAATCCATATAATAATTTTATTTGATAATATTGCAGCACTGATGCCCGCGAAACACAGCTGATTGATTTAGCACCATCTACAAAGGACACTGGACAAACCTCAGGCCAACAGAGTAAAACAGATTTTGATATCTTTGACTCTCTCTATTCCCCAACCAGTCAGTCTGTGTATGGAAACCTAGATCTGCCTTCACCACTGTTGAGCAGCTCCGAACCTGACCCTTTTGATGTTAGAACTCGATTCCAGGTGTTTAAAACCATAAACTGGGGGAAAACAGAGAGCGTTAGTTCAGGCTACAAGTCAGATCCTGATCTTGTGGAGAGTTTGGAGTCATCTGGGGTTTTCTCAGCGACTTCAGCCCAGTCATCTATCTCGTCATCTTCACAGCCATCCCAGATGTTAGTAAACACATCAGCCGGTGCTTTGAAGTCAGCGCTGAATCCTTTAGTTGATTCCTCAAAGTCAAGGGCAAATCCATTCAACCCATCAGTTGATTTAGTACAGTCAGGACTGAGTCAGTCAGTTGATATAAAAAAGGCAGGGCAGAATCAGTCAGTAGATTTAGTAAAGGCAGGAGTGAATCAGTCAGCTAATAAAGCCAGACCAGAATGGAATCCATCACTGAGGTCAGTACTGAAGACTAGTGCTGATTCTCACCAGAAAATTCAGGAGAAACGTTTCCAAATACCTGCAAGCTCCACATCTTTCGCTTGTAGCGCCGGTACCACAGCTCTCAAAACCAATACTCAGATGCATTCTAGAGATCTGCTCTATTGTGAGCCCCCAAGAGAAGATCTGTTCAGTGTATCCTCTTTACCCAAACCTGAAGCTCAACCTACATCACATATCATAAATGAACAATTTAATGGTAATCAGATTCTGCACTCAGGGGTAAATAATCGTGACACAAGGGAGCGAGTTGTTTCCCCTTGTGTCAAGGATGTTCCTACAACAACAAAACAAAAGATTATATGTGGTAGAAATGGCTCGGTGATCTTGCCAGTAAAACTTCCACCACCCCCGAAACTACATTGCCAGGGCACAAAGCGGGCAGCACAGAATACAAGCCAGGTTGTCCTACAGCAACCCAATAAACATGATGATCCAGGAACATCAGCCTCTCAGGACAATAGCAAAATAAAAACAGAGAAGGCGTTTGACTGGATAAATGACACTGTGAAACATAACTTATCACCCCTGCAGCATTCGTTATTCCAAGAGTTAAGTGCAAGGATGAACAAAATCAATCTTAATAAAAATCTGTTGCCGAGATCAGACACTTTCCCGTTGTACGATAGCGTTCCTGAAGAACCCAGCTCACGATCCAGAATTCAAAGTGATGGCAGTCCAACAGATCAGTCAGGTCCATCGGCCAGCTTCTCAAAATGTGAGACATACTTGAATTGTGGATCAAGGGCATTAGAACAGTCGTTGCAGGCTGGTGCATCAGGTGAAAGTTCTGCGGTTGTCAGCGCGGGTAATATATCACTAGCTGAAAGCTGCGAGTACAGCTCAAGTATCAGCGACAGCACTTGGGATGAGGAGTTTGATGATGAGGATGTTGAGCATGACTTTGAGGAAGCTCCTGCCAAAGACGATTTGCCACTCATGTCTCCTCCACCTGTTCCTCCACGGACTTACCAAACTGTTGCTGACAGTAGCCAGGTGAAGACGCCAGATAAACCCCACATCCTGCCTTTGAAACAAGATGGTCAACAATTAAGTCATACTCATTATTTCCTCATCCCTTCTGTGAATCAACAGTGCCCTCCTCCACAGCAAAAGGATATTCCTGCTTCTCACAAAAGCATCAAACATTCTCCTCAGAAGGCTACGGCAGCGGTGAAACCATTCCTCATCAACACAGCATTTGATATGAAAGATGAAAGCAGCAATAGTGTAGATTATGAAAATCTGAATGGCCTCATGAGTCACGATGTGGTCAATCGGTCACTTTCAAGTAAGTCTGCATCTTCAAAGTCCAGTATCAGCAGTGGGGGATCCAGTAGTTCTCCTCGACGTGCAGCAGCCAGTCACTACATTCACCGTTCTGCATACACATCTGCAGGTCCTTCTCTTTCAAAACCACAGCCTATTGATTGTTACAAGAAACAAGCTGAAGAAGACGAGGACCTCAGTTTTATGAGTTCTTCTCCAAGAGACAGGATCGCCATGGTTCGGAACCAAGTCATCGGGGTCACGGATGAGGAATGTCATGCAGCTTTATCAACCACCCACTGGGATGTGGAGAATGCTGTGAAGTACCTAAAGATAGAGCAGCTTTTCCGGCTGGGTGTGGTACCCAGATCTTCTTGCAAGGGGCTGCTTGAAACACTAGGCTGGAATTTAGAGCGGGCAAGCTCTGTAATCGTTGACAGGGTTCGCAGAACCAGGATGACATCTGGAAGTTCATTTGAGACTGCGGTTTGAGATTTAGCACATGACCTACTTAACACATTAAAATATCATCATCATGTTGTGCCTTTTGTGTATCACACAGGGCTGGCAGTTGATTTCACCATTCCATTCTACAGTATGTAATTATTTTGATATTATGTGTGGAATCCATACTGCAACATCCAGTCTCTTGCATCCTTTCCATAAATTTAGGGAGCTGCTGAGCTGTAGTGGCTAGACTAAGGCTATTCAACTGGCGGCATCCAGGCCACAAATGGCCGAGGAGGCCTGGCAAGTGGCCCATGGATCATTGTCAGTTAATTGTATTAATGACCATTCTATGCTGGGTATTAGGCCTCTGGCCCATGACAATCCCCATTTTCAACATTGTGATCCCTAAGTTTAGTTGAATAGCCCTGGGCTAGACGCTTGCCTGCGGATTCGAAGGTCAGGCTGGTGGACCTGACTTTTCTCAAAAATGACGGCTTCCAGGTCAACCCAACCTTAAACTGGTATCAATTTAAATCCTTAGAAGTGAGCCCAGCCTGTATGATGTTCACCACATCACCCACCAAGCGCCAATTTGTGTATAAGATACAGGCTCAACCCTGTATGCCCAGTACACATGAAGGCATGTAAAAGGGTCCTTTTTATAAAATTAGCTTTATCATAAATTCCAGTAGTAAAAAAAAGAAGAAGAAGTTGAGTTTCTAAACTTCTAAATTAAGGATTGATTTTTATGGTGGGTATAAAATGCAGATGTTTACCGCCTTGTTGTAAACAAGTGGGACAGTACTCCTAACATTCACTTTACATCACTTACTTCCAGTGGGCTGCCACACGTGTATATTCCACTAACATTTTTGTTTTATAAACATATCTGGCACATTACTGCAGAAATTAAAATTAAATAATAAAAACACAGATTCAATATAAAAATTACCCCCCCCCCCCCCCCCCCCCCCCCCCCCCCCCCCCCCCCCCCCCCCCCCCCCCCCCCCCCACCACCGACCCCTCCCCAAGGATCTCACGAAACAGCATGTTAAAAATGTTCCTAACACATAGTCTGTGTCTTTGTTATATGGAAAGTTCTTCTCCTTTGCATTCACCAGCTGGAAAGCTCTATTTTTACAGATCTGACTGATTTGTATACACGGTTTGATCGTTGCCTCTCGGGCAGATGCACTCCAACTTCGAAGAAAGCTCTTAATTAGTCGACTCCTACAATAAAGCTCACTGAGACAGATTTTTCACTTACATAAAGCTTACTGAGACAGGTCCTTTACTTACATAAAGCTTACTGAGACAGGTCTTTCACTTACATAAAGCTAACTGAGACAGGTCTTTTACTTATATAAAACTTACTGAGACAGATCTTTCACTTACATAAAGCTTACTGAGACAAATCCTTCACTTACATAAAGCTAACTGAGACAGGTCTTTCACTTACATAAAGCTAACTGAGACAGGTCTTTTACTTATATAAAACTTACTGAGACAGATCTTTCACTTACATAAAGCTTACTGAGACAGGTCTTTCACTTACATAAAGCTAACTGAGACAGGTCTTTCACTTATATAAAGCTTACTGAGACAGGTCTTTCACTTATATAAAGCTAACTGAGACAGGTCTTTCACTTATATAAAGCTTACTGAGACAGGTCTTTCACTTACATAAAGCTTACTGAGACCTTACTTTAAGTTTACACATATCATTTATGGGAGGGAGAGCCATGGTGTCATAGAGACTAGATGCCTGCTTGCCAGCTCAAAGGTCTTGAATTTGAGTCAGCATCATCCCTGTGTGAATTCCATTGCTCCATTTTGGAGGCTAAAGAATCGACCTACTGCCTCTAACAAGCATGTTATAGGAGGCAAATAATTAGGGGTGTCCTCTTCATAGTCGAAGTGCATCAGCCTGAGAAGCATGACACCAACAGTCTGCATAAAATTAAGCCAGATCTGTAAAACTGATGTGAATGCAGACTCAAGTTCTAGCATAAAACCAAGGTCCTGGAGTGGAAGAAAACTATCAGAACTTTCTGCAAGAAGTTTACTGCCGGTGAACACAAATATGAAGGACAGGCATCAGTGCCAGTTTTACTTTCCTTTCAAAATTGACCTTGATTGCAAGGTCAAGCCAGCCTGCTGTGACTGCCAGATAATACCCTAGGAAATTGTGGTGGTGGCCGGTTTGTTGTTTACAACATTGCCCACCTAGTGCTAATTGGTTTATAATGAGTCTACCATCATGTGACCAGTGAGTTACTGGCATTATATGGTGAAATGTTACCTTTTTTAAACTCTATATTTAACTTATATTAATGTATTTTTATTTGTATAAGACAGTCATCATCATCATCATGTAGCAGGTCCTTTGCAGAACGTCGCTCTCATCACAGTCTGCCTGAAATAAACTCGGTCTCTCGCCAGTTCTCCTGCCTCATATACTTTCACACTCAAGGAGTCACTTATATCCTGTGCCCATCTTCGTGTCGGTCGGCCCCTGCTCCTCCTTCCTGGTACCATGCCTTCTGCTATAGTTTTTTCCAATCCGTTGTGGCGCTTGATATGACCAAAATATTTCAGCTTCCGGTATAAGACAGTATTTTCCCAATTTTTTTAATTTAAGATGGGGGGGGGGGGGGGGGGGGTCATTTTTGCAAGGGCTGTGTATGAAATATTTGGTATTTAATTTTGGGCCAGAAAACATAGGGGTCAGCATATACTGTACACCGGAAGCCTGAATTTTTTCTCAAAAATTACCTTTCCTCCCAGGTGGACCAAGCCTTTAATGGCTATCAAAGTCCTGGGAAGTAAAGGTGGCTGGGGTGATGTTGACCACCAATTGGTCTGAAAAATACAGGTCTAGCCCTGTATGCCCAATGCGCCTGAAGGCGTAGAAAAGAGTTCTTTTGACTTTTTATACATTGGGGGACCTTATACATGGAAAAACTTACTCAGTTGTATATAATAATATACAGCTTGATACATTTGTGTTGATTGTCCCACTCTTGCATAATGCTTACTCTTAAAACTTACCTAACGCATAAATTTAGAAAAGCATAATATAATACTTATTTCTTTGTTTGCCTGATATAGGTCTGTTGTCTGTTTGTTATATAAATATGGGTCCAGCATAATATGTCCAAAGCTGCAAATCTGCAGCCCGACCCCTTGATTGATTATTTTGTATAAACTGTTTCACAAACACTGGAGACGATAACTGAGGCCTGTTAACTCAGTTATTACAGAAGTATTCTTAGTGTATTGTGAACCTAGAACAAATACAGTAAACCCTTGATTACACAAACTTAAAGGGACCGAAATGAATTCATGTTAACCTAAATCCATGCTGACCAGGGACTCAAATTTCAGTGTTGGAATTGACAAGATCTTCCGTGCCGTCATCACGCTGAAGCTTGCTATAGTGTGCCACTGTTGTCTTTAGGAATATTACGTGCTGAGGCCCCAATTTCTTTCTTCTGTAATGTGACTCTCGTAGTACTGTCCAAAAACCAGTTGTGCTATATTGTGCACAACACACAAGGCATACGTTTTTAATACTTGGTCAGATTCATGCAACCAGTTCTTCTTCAGCTATCTTTGGTCATGCACTGAATCCACTGTGGGCCATAAACTGGGGATGTCATCTCAAGGTCTCTTAGGTTCCTCAAAGCTTGGTTGTCAGGTCCACTGGGTGTGGCCACATGTTGCATTGCAGCTGTTCCAAGACTTGTAAGTCATGTTCTGGAGTCTGTTCAGCACAGCTCTACCAAGACTTGTAAGTCATATTCTGCAGTCTGTTCAGCACATCTCTGCCGAGACTTGTAAGTCATGTTCTGGAGTCTGTTTAAACACATCTCTGCCAAGACTTGTAAGTCATGTTCTGGAGTCTGTTCAGCACAGCTCTGTCGAGACTTGTAAGTCATGTTCTGCAGTCTGTTCAGCACAGCTCTGCCGAGACTTGTAAGTCATGTTCTGCAGTCTGTTCAGCACAGCTCTGCCAAGACTTGTAAATCATATTCTGGAGTCTGTTCAGCATGAAGACACTCACAGAGAGCTGTTTGGTTCATATCTAATTTATATAAGTGTTTCTTGAGTTTGCAATGTCCAGTGCATAAGTGAAAAACTGTGACCTTGTCTGTTCTGTTTAGGTGTTTGAGGAAGCCCTTTTCATGATTATAACCTGTGTTAAGTTTTCCAGTGTTTTTCTGATATTTTCTCTTAATAAGGGTTTTGACTTCTGGAAAAGATATGCAACCAGTTGTTTGCTTCTTCTCTGTCAACTTAATTTGCTTGACCACAAACCACTGATGATGGACCTGAGTGTCTCTTGTGGAACCACTACAGCCAATCAGTGGAACAACTTGAACATCTAAATTTTTGGCAATCTAATTTGTTTTTCGACCAAATTATAGGTCCACTTGAAGGTAGATATGAAGCGCGCATATGGCTGAACCACTCTAGAAGTAAAGTTTCTAAATCTTCCTACCTAGCTCTACAAAGTTGCTTAGAGTTGTTTCCAGAACCTGATGCAGCATCGTTAGGAATTCTGTTCACTATCTTTGAGTACTGTAGATTCCCAGTATGGGTTGTGGGGTACGAGTCATATCTGTAAAATGGATGTGCACACAACACTCAGGTTCTGCACACAACACTCAGGTTCTGCACACAACACTCAGGTTCTGCACACAACACTCAGGTTCTGCACACAACACTCAGGTTCTGCACACAACACTCAGGTTTTGCACACAATACTCAGGTTCTGCACACAACACTCAGGTTCTGCACACAATACTCAGGTTCTTGAACAAGACTGAAGTCCAGAGGTGGACGAGTAACCAGAACTTTCCACTGGAGTTTACAATTCTTCTTCTTTTGTCAAAATCTGCTTGTGCCGCTAGGCGTCGCAGTCTATCAGATGATCGGCAACCGAGCCAGGGCGCGCTCAGTCGCTTCATATGCCGTGATGTTATGAAGTCTCAAGTTGTCCGTGACTCCTTCAATCCATCTTCTTCTTGGTCTTCCCC